TCCTCTGCAATCCGAAAGTCGGATTTATCCCGGGGGTTTAAGTTGGTCAGAGACTTCCCATTTGTTTTGAGGCCGGAAGTGCTTTTCAAGCAATCAAAAATGCACTCGTTTTCCACATCCCTTTTTACGGGTATGTAGGAAGTCGAATCCCAGTTTGTCTTGAACTTCCTAACCTTCGCTTTGGCGTTCTCTAGACGATAGCACAAGTCGTGGATCCTTCAGCACAAAGTCACGCAAAAGCAGCACTTCCAGGAAGCCCTCTCTGCTTCATTCAAAGGTGATGATGTCCGAGTCCTATGCTACGACGTCTGGCACCTCGTGTGGGCCCTCCATGAGTACTTCAGCGTCGGTGACTGCTATACCGTCGGTGGTAGAGGGCGATAATGCAGACGTCTCTGCCTCGACTTCTTCATCCCTACTACCTCCACGAAAGGCTCGTAGTACCAGCAAACCAATAGTTTACGACAATTCGGATGAGGAGGACGTGGAGGATGATGGTCTGGATGAGGATGACGATGACGATTATTGAGCGCTGCTACCACCGCTCCCCCCCTCATCCGTATTTTATTCCTTATCTCCCCCTCCGGCCCTGCGCGTTTCTTCTCAATTTCTCTCTTCATTATTACCAACTTAGGTATTGTGCGTCACTGTGTGTTTGCGTTTGTTTGACTGTGTCAACAAAGTTTTTTTTCATAATTGTCTGGCAAAGTACGTCAGTATTGAAAAACCGGTTTGGGGCTCCTGTGGCAAAAGTGGCGTCTCATGTTAGGTATGCATCTGATGATCACAAATGAACTAATCCCCAAACTCAGTAGCATAACGGGAGATGTGTGGGGGTACAATCCTCCTCTATCGCGGCTTTTCCGGATCCAACGTCCAGATTTCGCATATGAGTGGCACCCCAATGTCTTATCCTCAGGATCGACCGGGTGGCGCATTTGGTGAAGCATTCCCCACTGCTGCGCAGTTCTAAGTGTGATCACGCGTCAATCTTAGGAGCTGTCTGGTTCTCTGTGATCTAGCAGCGTATGATACGCAAGATTTAATTCTCAGGCGCAGTTTGGAAACGTAAGTTGAGGGCCCACACCTTGACCCAAGCTTGTCGCCTGCCTTCACCTTACTGAAGATCGAAAGTACAACCAGTCGTTACCCACCTGACGTAGCGTACATACTGACCGAAAATAGCTGTAACGATGCAACCGATGTTCAGTATAATCTTAAATAAGAGACTAAAACTCGGAATTGAGGACACTGGGGTCGTGGCGGACATAAATGCACGCTCGAGATTGGGGGGACCCTACTCGTGACAAATAAAGCAAGACAATATCGCGACATCCGACTCAGGTTTTGTCCTCCAGTCCCCTCTCAGCCAATGCATAATGAACAAGAATAGTCAATAAATGACAGTACTTCTTAACACAACCCTTCATTAAGTAGAAAAATTACAACTGGAAAGAAATAATGCAAGACACCAGAGCTCTGTGCGTGTCCGAGCAAGCGTTCGCCAGTAGTATTATACGTAAATACCGACCCAGAGAGCGGTAAATAAAAGCCCAGTGCCCATGAAAATTGAGGCAGCGGTTGCGATAAGAACCTCCTTGAAGAGTTCACGCACGTATTTCGTCCCAGTAATTTCGTAGACAAAGAACCAAGCCATAAAAAAGACACCAATAGCGGTTAGGAGCATTCCCAGAGTGGGATACATAGCAGGATTCAAGGGGGAGACGAATCGCGACATCTCAGAGATTGGTACCTGAAAGTCAATTTCACTGGAAATTTGCAAACGGCACCAAAATCTTATACTGACAAGCATGAAGTCAAAGCCAACTAGTACGGGAACTGAAACACTTACATTAACTAAAAGAAATACATATGCAGATTAGTCAGGGTGCTACAAAGGCGTGGATTAAGCAAATCCCCTAGCATTAATAAACTGAAATCAACTGATTAGGTAATGGAAGTAGTGATTGAGAATACTTATCTATAGTCCTGATTCACAGAGAATGGTTGTAAACAAAGGGTACAATTGATGAAGCTTCTTGATTTTTCATAAGAAATTTAAGTCGTTAAGTAGGCAACTGCACCAGACTAACACTCACACGTGGTTCCATTTTGGCGGTAAGACGTGAAATACACATAAGTTCGGTAAAACCCATTATAAGGCCTATGAGCTATATTCTAATGGTTCCTATGTTTAAACTCAAATAGCAGCTATGCGAATAATCACTTCTAAGATACCGTAGACATTTTAGCATTATCCAATAAATCTTTACAGTTACACAGATCAAACAGCCTAGTAAATATAACACTGTTAAAATCTAACAGTGTTGAAAATAACTTCATTGGTGAGATTTTGCACGTATAATAAAGACACGACATGGCAACGTTTGAAACGACTTCAAAAACCCAAAGTTATTCCTTGAGTTCAGCCTTCTATCCACAAAATTGTTTCGTTAGTAGTCTGTGCTGCCTTGAGTCCTTCATGCTGTCATAACAGGCTAATATTTTGTGGAAGAACATACAGTGCTCACAAACGGAAGAATTTGGAGACTACTAGCATTACTTGAAGGCCGTGCTATCATGCTGCTGTACAACCTACGGAGGCTGTTACGCCCACTTCGACAAAATATATCCAATCACTACCTATTCTATGTAATTTTATTTGTCTCAATTTTGCAGACAGTTGTCTTCTACCAACTGTTCTACCTCTCAAGTACCTATGCTGCTAAAATTGCAGATAGTTTGATTCCATCTTTCACCTTTTAGAATGTGTAGAACCCCAAGCCCATCCCCATCTCCCACTGAAGTCGTAGGAAGCCACAGTAGCAATGCAGATAATATGTTCCTGACAGGTAGAATATCTGAGAGGCTACAGGCATAGACCAAAGGTCATACCACTGGCCGAACTTCCATTTTTCCGAAATTTAGTCGCCTGTGTAGTCAAACACCAGCATCAGGCAGGACGTCTGACCAAGGAAGCCATCTACGGGATATCAGCGATTATTGTCGCTTCAGTTGGTTTTGGTTTTAGCCACATGCGTATATGGGTTTGAAGCAATGTTTTTCTTTGGGTACTGATTTGGTCACCATCTTGTGTTTATTCAGGTTCAAACGGACTATTTTTTTTATTCAAATTCAATAATATTAGAAATATTTGATGTAACGTCCCGAGACTTCTTTGAAGACGGAAGTAGCGGGCAAGAAGGGTTCAGGGACTACTGGCATAACCAGGAGGCCATTCCGCCCAACGGCAGTACAATGCCGGGGTCTTGAATGCCCGCGAAACTAACACAAGTAGTTAAAGAAATAACCAAAGTATTGTATTTGTTTAGCTACTTACGGTGATATCTTTAATCCGTCAATAATAAACTGCCAAGACGACCTCTCACGCCATCGCCTTGCTTTTGTGATTGAAACCCACTGGATTGCGGTGGAGGGAGCAGTTGGTAAGGGCACAACATCGCATAGCTTATGGTTGACCTGATTCCAGTTTCGGATCACGATAGCAGTCCCATTTCACCTCCACATGAATCATCAATCTAGTGTAAAATAAAATTGTGAGTGCCATCCACACGATTTACATGTAGCATTTCGTTCATGTGCAATTATTTGTGTCAGTGTGTTCTCAAGCAGGAGGCAAGTTTAATCTCCTGTCATGTAGCTTAGAAAGGCCTTAAAAACACGTCCCCCCGCGCTTGCGCATGAGGAGGGCCCCAAGTTCACATGCACTGAAATAAGCTCACCAAGAAGGCTCTGAAACGGTGAAGTTAATTCAAAGTCTCAGAAAAACTTCAAAAAGGATTAGCTTATGCCACCTAGACAGGAGTGCCTGCGATTGTTTAAGAGCTGGACCAGATAAGGGCATAGCTTCTCGATGGAAGGTGTGACACAACATCGTCCCAAATGAAGCATTTACCAGTGTGTCCTTTTGCTACGTCCTTTTATGCATTTCCGAGAGTTATGCGCCCTCCTTTTTATCCACTTTCAGCCGCTTTTTGCGTTTGCTACCTGATTTGTACTTTTTCGTGCAAAAAATTTCACACCGAGAGAGATGTTAATTTCATTTGTGATCACACGCAAAAAAATACCACCTAACGGTAGAAGTGGTCTTCTTCGCTTAACACACTTTCCCAGGATGCTGTGAACAAATGCCACTTGGCCAAGGAGCACTGGCAATGCCCATGCTTCACTTGTCAGGTTCTCATCTGGAAGACGTTGGATTGACGCCTTCATGCTTTGAGAAGCCAAGATAAGCTTCCAGAATCAGCTCAAAGTTGGATATTTGAATAGCCGGTTTGACGACCACGACTAGTGACACTGACCAACGCAGTTTTGTGGTTTTGCCTTATGGTGTCGAAATACTACTAGGAGTGGTTCTACGACCTTGTCAGTAGTATCATTTCGAGATACCAAAAAAAAATGAATTTCCTAAAGAAGTTGTGGCAATTCAAGCTGTTGCCATTCATGACCGCCTTCACCTTTGGGAACGATTTAAGTTGAGGTAGTTAATCGAAAAATGAAAGCTATCCAAATCTCCTCTCTTTCTAAAATTGAGCAAACTAAATTTTTGCTCTAAAAATCGCCTTTTTATGAATCATGGATTTGAATTTCATGTTTGCGTTGGCGACCGAATGCATCACGCTGCGTTGAGCAGGTAGGTCTATCTGTCCTTAAAACGACATCATTCAACTTCCACTTCCAAAATCCTACAATGCCCCGCGAAGTCTTCATGGACTCCCTTTTGCGTGAAGACCTGGACGACTAGGCTGCCTCGTTGAACATCGTTGTAGTCGAAGTTGTGCACCTCTAGTAGAAACGCTTTAAAAGTAGGGCAAGTGGGCAAATCTCATTTCAAGTTAAGTGGAAGAGATGTCCCATTTTTTCGGCCCTCGTGGGGGAAAAGTGACCATTAAAAAAGGTGGATAAGGCGAGTGTGCGTGTGTGTGATTTGGCATTGTGTGCTCATGCGAGTGTCATAAACCGAGACAGAAGGCATATGATTGGTTCGTAACTGCGTTTCCTACACATAAAAGCCCCTAGTGCACATGCCCCAGGCGCAGAACACACAAACAAGTGCCCACGCCTCGAACGCATCAAGTGAGTTTTACTGTGTGTAAATATTTCTGTGCTTTACAAAAAAAACGAAAATAAAAAAACAATTTTTCAATCTTGATACCAAATAAGTAGGGGGATTGACGAGTGTCAGTCCGGTAGGGCCTGTCACCTTTGGACCGTTTCAGGCGGTCACAAGCCAGCTAGCGTTCCTCGAGTTTAAACGACTCCAGTGAGAACCCGACTTCTTCAAAAAATTTGTGTTAGCAAATAAGAAATTTATATAATTTCACAGGATTTTTTATGATTTTTAGTCAAAAAAAGGATGATTAAGCATACCAGGACTAGTATTTGATGACATTTACCATTTCTCCTCCACATGAAAACCTATTTACTTGCAATGTTAAAATGTTGTTTTCACCTGCCTCTAAGCCATAAATCCGCTTATTTACCTCCACACATGTGGGCATTTAATAGTCTCCAAAGTGGCGTGATATTATAGGTGCCAATCTCCCCGTTAGGTGCATGAGAAGGAGCGCTTTGTTGTGGTTATTGTTTGTTCCATACGCGACAGAAGGCAGAGTGCCATTACAATGGACGGATGTTAAAACAATTCTTTCGTGGAAAGGTTTCATAATCTTCCAATGGATGAAGTGATATTATGAAAACGCAAATTCATTGGCGAAATTGCCTCGTCACAATTATTACCATCATCCCAAATCATGCATTCAACTTAAACCGTGCTGAGATTGGAGAATAAAGAACAATGATTGTTGGCTAACTAAATACAATTTCATCTAGAGGATCCAAGAAGACTACGCATCGTTTGGCATACAGTCCACATTCCTCACATACGCAGGGAACCCCACATCTCGCCTGTTCATGTCCTTTCGTATAACCTTGCGATAAAGGGGATCAGTATCACTTGCATTGGCCAATCAGGTGAGAAGCAGAGCGTCCTCGAAGTGTGAAGGTCTCCTGACGCTTTAAAAGCCTCGATTTTGGGACTCCAATACACCTACTTCAGTAAATTTGTTGGCAAACACAGACCTAGTGAATGACAGACAGATTGCCAGTGAAAGATGTTGCTGTTTAGTGTTCACAAGCGGTTTGAAATCACAGAGATTACTAAACACAAAAGGATCTGCCTGAGAGAATAGAAATTTTCTCATAAGGAAAAGAGGCCTTCTGCGGATTTTGGAAATATGCCAGAGAGTGATCAGCGCTTTATTTCACAAAAAAATTGTGATTATTCCGGTAAAACGTTTCAGGTTTAACTGTCATGCCATCTCTAGAGGTCACACCGACAAACAAAAATAACAATACAAAGGTATTAAGAGGAGGTCTGTCACATGTGTACAGCCTGTTAACGATGGATTATGTGGTCACATTTGGCGGCAACGCGTAACACACACACACGGACCCACATGTGGCCGTAGACTGATCTAGTGTAAACAGTGATGCCGTGTCAAACGTCACAAATGCATAAAACCGAGGCGAAGAAGGAAGGTATTGTTGCATTCCAGGTGATGAAGTATCACCGAAGAAGCCGGCTTCCAATTCTCATCACCTCAACAGCCCTCGTGTTCTGCTTCCTCATTAGTATAGCGAGTCTCGCCCTCCTCCTTCTCTTTGACAACATTGTGGAGTGGAAAATTTCAGAGGTAAGAAACTTAACAAAACCTTATAATGTTTGTATAGATTGTCTAATATGCGTTTAAACTTTATTCATTCAAACAAAACACCCATTAACCTTATTTCTATTGAACTTTGTTAATATTTTTCTTTAATCCTCACAAGAAAACATTTTTTCACGCACTTATCTGACAACTTACCAGAGTCGAGGCTAAATTTATTAGCCAACTTAATGACAACAATTTCCATTGTTCACACAGTCAGTAAAGCTGCAAAATGAATCCGCGGTTCTCAACAGTTGGAAATCGCAAAACGTGGTGAGCAAATTTTCGGTCTTCTTCTACAACCTGACAAATCCCACCGAGATGCTCGCCGGTGAAAAGCCGGTGCTTCAGGCGATCGGACCCTACGTCTATTGGTGAGTCAGCAGCGAATCAGAAGTGAGATTCGCCTCATTACCAATAATCGATACTCACAGACCATTGGCCTACTTAACCCATCAATTCAAGGATTTATTAACAATGGCCTTGTAAATCACTTTTGCTTAACAAAATTTCGAAAATTTTTGGCCCAGAATGTTAAAGTAAGAAATAAAAATGCATTTGAAGAATGAGTAGACAATCTTACTTCGTCGTGCAGAGTCAGCTTAAAGTGGATTCGCCTCGTGACGACGAAGTTGCGAGCTGCCGATTCATTGTAAAGCAAATATTTGGCATAATCTCCTAGGAAAGGCCAAATACTACTTCGGCTTAGCGACGTCAAACAAGTTATGCGCATCAGCACTGCACCTATTTTTGAGTCAATTACTAACCGACTGATGGAGCCAACCGTTCAGAAAGACTTTGAAGCTATGTCTGACATACTGTTGATGATTACTAACCAGAGTCAGAATGCGATTCCCTTGGCGAAATCTTAAAGTCAGAGGAACCTGTGTACGCCTAATACAGTACAATCTTTCAAATGTGCTACTTTCATCCTTCAGTCGTTATTGGAATCACGTGGACTTCGGCTTTAGATAAAACTGCGCCACTACTCAGGCAGAAGTATTTACATTGGCAACAAATAAGCCCACCGCTTTTGGTTGGTAGTTCCGAAGAGAGAAATCGACCTCTACGAGCTGTTTTGGCCGTCTCTACTTTTTCTAATATGACTCCTTAAATTGTCGTTAAGTTGGTTTTATTATTTCAAGGCACCCAAACTCCTTTTTGCTAAATTTAAATGCTGAAATACTTGTTAAAAGATTTTTTTATTTAGAACATGAATTACCCCAGGTAATTCAAATTGACGTTTTGGAGTCAAGAGATAAATAAGCATTTCCTAGAATCAGGCAAGAATTCCTCTACGGTCTTATTTATTAATCTTGCAGGGACACTGAGGTTGTGTTCACAGCTATCGGTTTAGCAAGCAACTAAGTATATTTTCTTCATTAAATAAAACTGCATATATGCTATTATCAATCGTAAAGCAAACACCTCTAAAACTCAGCACTACATGTAGAATCCCTTTAAAACTACCCGAGAATTACACTTTCATGGGTAATACAAAGCCAATATCGAATCAGATAGATTGTGACTTTCTATGGCGCCTGGCAGGCAAGAAAACGAAAAGGTGAACATCTCGTGGACAGAGGTGGACGGAGTTCCAGCCATATCTTACTTCAAACGAAGCACCTATAAATATGACGCAAAGCTCTCCGTCGGAGACCCGAAAAATGACGCAATTACATCGGCGAACCTACCGATTCTGGTAAGAGCTTATGTGTTTTTCAGACCCTAAAAAAACAATCAAAGCCTTAATGCATACTCACAGATATAAAATGACCAGGTTTGCATAATTTAGAGCCATAAATAACGCAGTAATTTCATCAAACTGAAAATAATAAAGTATGCAAATAAAAAATTCCCCATCTTCCCCACAATTAGCAATAAGCTGGTGACCAGCGAAACTTCTGTCAATTTTTTTTCTAAATGGAGCCCTTCAACGCAAAGGAATTTGATTTATGAGACACCACAATTAGGTTTGGCAATTGTTACCTAAAAATACCTCCAAAACTTAGCCTTTTCAAAACCATTTTAATGGGCATTTACTTACAAAAAACAAATTTGTTTTTTTTAAATCGACGTAATTAAAAGGATGAGTTTATTAGAGCTGAGTTTCAAATAATCTTTTGTGGTTCAACTAAATCATCCGATTTGGGCTTGACTCGTGGTGCGATCCAGTCGACAAACTGGAGCGCCTGCAATCACTCATATTGAAATGTTTCTTAGGGTTATTAAATAACTTATTTAGAGCTCTTTAATACGTAGTTTTGTAGCCTCCAAGTCTTCCCTGATGTCGAAAGAAGTTAAAATACTGGGGCGGAATATGTAGTGCCCAAGTAGGGAAGGGCTGAGGGGCTACTGGGATGTGATTGCTCGGAGACCAGGCTGCCTTAGGGGAAGTACAATCGCGGACACTTAAGCGCCCGCGTAACTACAGCGCAGTAGTAAACAAACAATCACAGTTTTGCAGAAATATGGGTTCCACAAGATGCTATTATAGGGGAGGAAACAGAGTCCGTCCCAAAGTACTCGCATTAGAAATGTTTGGATACTTATCGGGGACCCCCAAATTTTTCTGAAGGTCTTTATATCAACGCCTCTTCTTGTGATAATGAGCTCCAGTGAACAAAGCTCTTTCTTCGAGACAAATAGCCTGGATTGCAGATGCCAAGACATAGATCCCTTAGGCATACTCCCAGTAATCAAGAAGCAGCAATAATGGCGTTAAACCCAAGTCTGTTGCCAATCAAAATATTGTCGGTCGTTTTCTTTAACTTCAAAGCCTTTTTAACTGGCTAATTTGTCTTCCAAAATTTGTGTGAACCTCGCAAACCAATTATGACTCAGCTCAGAATAAAACAATTGTGCTAAGTCATTATTTCTTGTTGTATGCTTCTGGTAGTTTTTTGATTAATGACTTTAAAAGTTATCAAGAAATAGGGTAAAATAAAACATACAAAATAAATTATTAACAAACATCAATCTACTTCTCCTTTACTCTCACATTACCTAAACTAACCAATCACAGTTGCGCTCATTGATTAATTGGACATAAAAATCCCTATCGACCATTGGTTCCTGACAAAAATCAATGAACAGACTGTATTGCAACTGCAAATAACACGACCCTGCTTTCAGGCCATTTCAGCAGCCAGTAATGCGGGTCGAGGACCGAGCCTCAGTACAATAGAGATGGTTAAATTTTGGACCAGTCCACAAATCTTCACCACACAAACCGTTCATGGCTTCTTGTGGGGCTACTTCGATACAATGCTTAGTCTGTGCAAGATCTTCTACCCTGAGACGTGTCAAACCGACCATGTGGGCCTTCTCCTCAATGTGAGTTGTAGATTACTTTGCTTCATTGGTGTGCACCAGAGCATCTGGAGGTGCACCAACCAGTCGTCAAACACTTTCCTCCATAAATTAATTTCTTTTAATTCCAAGACGATATAGATGGTAGGGGATTAAATGCATTTGAGAAGTTGCTATTTTTGTCGCTGCACTCATGTATGTACATGTATCTCCGAGCTTCACATTGGTTGACAACTGCTGGAAGCTTTAAAGATCTATTTACTGCGTAGATTCTGTGGATATACTTTCCCCTCATCCATTTTTGATAATCTAAGTGGTTCAGAAATGCTACTTTTAGAGACTGTTAAGGCACGTCTTAGATGTAAACACATGGTGTCAAGTACACAGTCGGTGGTAAACCTTGTTATTGTTATATTTGATAATTACCTTGATCGTTCGTTACATTCGAAGGTTATACATCATCTATGAATTAGATGACCCTTCATTTTTTTCTGTGATTTAGACCAACAACACCCTAAAGGGTCCCTACATCATCGATGCTGGAATAAAGAATTCATCAAATGTAGGCAAATTCCTCTCCATCAAAGGCAATAGGTGAGCTACTCATGTCTCAGAAATTCCTAATTTCACATTGAGCTATTCCATCGTTTCCTTTTTTTTTCTTGATTTTCAGGAAACTGAATATCTGGTCAACAAAACGAGCCAATGAAATTCGCGGAACAGGTAAGATGATTTTAATGCGGGGTGCTTTGAATTCGGCCTTGTAGATGGTACGCGATTGGCCAAAGGCATTCAAGTGGGAGACCTACGAGAGATTTTTGTCGCTCTGCTTTGTCAACCCATCAAAATAACCGCTAAAGACTTCACTCACCCTTCGGCATTTCAGGACTTGAAGGTAGGCTTCAAAATACATACTCTCCCTCCTCCAGGTGATGGAAATGGATCTGGACTCATCGAAGTGCCTTCCTGGTGAAGTCTACTGTCCAAACAAGGCCTCTGGACCGGAGTGCCCACCGAGGGGACTCTTCGACATCTCTCAGTGTTCAGTGCGTGGTGATGTGGCCCCACCAATTTTCGCCTCTATGCCACATTTCCTGAACTCCTTGGAAAATATCACTACACCCTTCCGCGGTCTTAGAAGTGCCGATCCAAGGAGAGACAATTTTAAGCTTCTCGTTGAGCCGGTGAGTCAGCTTGTTGTGATCTGAAGTGGTTCGAACGATGGAGAATCAGCCTATTTGAATTTGTGGATGTTATTCAACTTTATCGGTGGGTTATCATTGGATGGGCAACTATTTCTAGACAGAATTATAATGATGGTAGTGGGGCAACTGAAAAGACACAAACCCATCAATCCTCACCTTCTAGAGCATCTAATCTGTTGGAGCAAAAATCTGGCTAGGTCTTATTCCATCCCAGTTTTTTTTTCCAGGGCTTTTCCTTCGTATGAGAACCTTGTAGCATTGTTCACTTGCTCTCAAGAGTATAGGGTCCGCCTGAATGCGGTGCATCCATCGTTGCGTGACTAGTAGCCCAAGTCAGAAGGCTAGGCCACCGCACCCTCCCCAACTGCTATCCAACGAATCCGACGAGGAAGTGTTGTGGCTTGGAACTCGGTTTGCAAAACAGGATCAGCTTGAGACACCTACGTGAAGTCCCACATCGATGGTCTGACGCACATCTGTGCTTTGTAGTGCGTGCACATGAACAATAGCACGCACCGCGCTACAGGTCCATGCAAATGACAGTAGACCAGTACAGCCAACTACGAGGGAAAACTAGATGTACTTTAATTCTTGGTCATCTGATTTGGCATTATTCCTGAATGACTTCGACGCACCTGAAGACCTGTCTACAGTGAGACGAAGTATAAGGTCATTTGGATTAAGTAAATTTTGGTATAATAAACGTACGACTTATTTTACTCTGGCCTGAGAATCGCTTTTTCCTTTCACATAAAATACCTTACCTAATTAGTCACCTAAGAGAAGAAGAAATGGAAATGAACCTCTGATGTGAAGAATAGGCTGAACACTCTTCTAAGTGAACCAATTTTAGGTCCCTTTTCGTGAAAATTCAAATGTTTAGTTGGGTTTAACAAACCAACGGGACTTTTCCACCTCACTTTAACTCTTACTACTTTTTGGAGAACAGAACTTTTGTGCCATTTTATTATAAACACTTCTATTTAAAATAAAGTTAAAAAATTTTGTTTGTAGTTTTCTTATCGATGAACTGGTTTGAGCAGTTATGAAATTGCAACATCCAACTTACGTGATCTCTTTTTCCCTAATCCAAAGCAAAGTTGTTCAAGCAAAAAATATTTAATTTTCTTGATTTTGCTGTGAAATGGTAAAAATCATGTTTTGTTTTTGTCTACTTACAAATTTTTCTAAAATTCTCTGGTCGATATAGTGTAGCGTCCTGGGAATCCCTGAAGACGAAAGAAGACACAATACTCATGCAGAACATATATATTCACCACGGAGAAGGTGTCTGGGGTATTGGCATGGCCCAAAAGGCCAGCCTACCCAGCGAGGTACAAGGGGGCTAATTCGAAGTACAAAAGTGGCGCCTCACCAGAACCGAGGGATAAACCACTATCGTATTACAATAGTGCCCCGGGTTGCCCCCAAAAGCGTAGTACGATGTGTCGGTGTCAACTACTGACCTGATATTGCCTTACACTGTGGATAGAAGGCCACAAGCATAACCCCTCGGTCGCGGCACTACGATGTAAGCACAAACCGCTGCAAGAGAATAGCCCACGCATGATTCTGCATACCAGTTCACTGAATTGAAAGGGCCATCATTTACTTTCAAATAAACTGATTATCCCACTGAAAACTGCTGTTGTTTAATAACTATTTCTTATTAAAATGGACTATTTTAGAGAACTGGAATTGTTGTGGAGGCACACATTCGACTGCAGGTGAACGCCCACATCGAACGCTCTGCACATATGGCGTGGGTCACTTTTCATTGTTTCCTTTCATAAACTGACACCTTTCCGTATTCTTCAGTCAAGAAAATTGCGCAAGTAATGCTTTTATGTTTATAGAGACCTCTATAAAAACATCTCCGATCCAATGTATCTGCCAATGGCATGGTTCGAAAATGTGAGTTACTGCTTCTTTTCACCATTTTCCAGATTGACATTCCCATACACATAGATGGGAGCGTTTGCTAACAGGCGTATGATGTCATGTCGTACCTACCCGAGTTCATTATTTATTCATGTTGATGTGCTTGTACTGAAGCATAACAATGTGAAAGAATGGTTTAGTAGCTAAATCGGTGATACGACTTAAACGAATAGCTATAAAGTTGCAACGTTTTTTGCTCATTGGATGAGACCTGGACCTGCGGGCAGAGCTTTATAGTGCCAGCAGTGAGGTGGAACCACGGAAGATGGAAGTGGTCTGTTTCGTAGCTCTTCCCCCTGTTCAGTGCCTTGTCCTCGGCGCTCTCGGTGACCACTTTTCTGCGTAGAGATGGTACAATATTGAAAAGCCTCATATATTTGTGCGGGCCCACGTATCACATACTCTTTTCAAAATTCTTTAAAGGAATTTATTGAGCGCATTTCATACACCAGTCTCCTTTAATGTTTTTTAACTCCTCGATTGATTCGCCTCGATTTTATTTCACCTGTATAACGCATTACGACCTCAGCATTTTTCGACACCCATCTGGGTTGTTCCTAGAATGTCTTGATATAAAATGTCAAGTGTCTAATCTTCAGGTTTGTAGAGCGGTTTTCGCGGTCTTTTGTGGGCAACATGAATTCATCCCTTGCAAATATTACTTGCAATTGCTTTGCTTGCCTTCCTTAAACATTGACAAAATCATTACATCCTCCAAAGTGATGAGGGGTTTCGGGCACATTTTACTGCAGCGCCATCGATGCAGCACCCGAGCTACCTCTAAAGGCGTCAAGAGAAGTGCGAGTCTTGAAGTAACCTCAGGATTAGTAATCTGGGTAACACGAACCAGATTCCGTGTCAATGTCACAGATGCCGCTCTGTAAACGATTTCAGTACTCATAGTCCACTTCAGCAAATGCTACTGACAGGATAAGGAGGCCACATACGGCTAGCGTGTAAGACCTTAAAAGTTCGTGCGACATTATGGCTTCAGAGCAGGCGATTCCCCCCTTACTTTAAGGAAATTGAAGGTGGTCCCGAGGCCTTGAAGCTCCTCTACTCTGCAGTCTACGTTCAGCCGGATCACATTCGTCTGGCGATCTACGTTTCATTCATTCTTGCTGTCACCCTCTTCGGCATTTTCTCCATCGTAAATGTGATACTAATGCTAGTGCGCAACTCCAAGTGCATTTGCTCTGTTTTTCGGTTGCGGAAACAAAATCCCTCTGTGCGACATCTCCTTCTTGATGCTCCTGCTGATAGTGCTAGTGACTTGGTGAGTTTTGACACACTAGGGGTTGGTCTGAGTGGGCTTGTTTGAAATAAATGAACCTCATATCTTAGTCAATGAGATAAGCATCTCTTGAAAATTAGGGCCCCAGAATGACTTAATTTTGCACAAAAGGTAAAATGCTTAATATTAAATATTGTTTACCGTTTTTCTGACTTTTTACTTACCTTTCCTTTGTTTGTCTACGTAAAAGAATTATAGTCGCAGAAACTCCTCACCAATTAGGCCGAAGCGTAGGCATTAATCGTGGCTCCAACAACAGACTTTCATTTTTGAAAATCAATCAAACCTGATAATAAACAGTCTCAGACTAAGGCAGTTAAGGATTTCAAATTGTTTTTGCAATCCACTCATCGCTTTCTTTATCTCACACGATTTAGAGACAAATTTCAAAATTTCATTCTTCCGGTGTTTCAGTTTTTGTCAGATATAGAAGCTTCACTTCAATTTTAACATTTTTTACTTAATATGACTTTCTTTTGTTTGTGTTAGGGGTCCGTGAAGCGGTTTACGACGTGTTTCAACACTAAATCAGCAGTTCTGGTAGAAGGAAAGCAAATTGGCTAAATTTTAGTAGATGACGTGTTTTAAACACACTTGCTTCCAAAGCTTTGACGCCTTTGGTAGTATTTGTTGACTGACCTTGAAAGTGTTGCGAATCATATATTCATATAATCATATATTTGTTTTGTATCCTTTTTCGAAAAATAGTTTCTGAAGAACAACGAAGACACTGTTAGATCTACAGTCAGTCCCTGGAACAATTTGATAAGGGCCTAGTCCACAAACCTGGAGGACATATGGCCGTAGACTGATCGGCTCTACGCCTTCTTTCGTCTGTAGCATGCTCTGCATTTCATCGTAGAACGCGTCTTCCTCATCCATTATACCATCAAGGCCTTTTTAGTCAAAATTCTACTATGTTACTTTGCTATTTTAAGTAGTGCCCAATTTTGAAATATATCTTTTGCAGGAAAATTCGTTATTTTTGAAAAATGCTGCTTTGTTTTTTGAAGTATCAGGAGGGTCTATAGGGCTTTGTCGTTTGTTTAGTCGCGTGAGTTTTTTGTACTTTTCACGAATTAATTACGCACAGTTCTAAATGTGACGACTAAAGACGGGGCCTGTGAGTTCGTTTTTGTAAGTATTTGTAAGCATCTTTTCTCGTTATTGCATTCGAAAATGCAGTTTTAAATTTGATTGGTGGGTAAAATTTTGAATGATGACTTTTTTAATGACGCCCCGGGCATTTGAATTACAAGGTTAGATAGAATCACTCAAAACCACGATTGTAAATAATTTGCTGTACTGATTGGTCAAATGGTTACAAGAATCTTCAGATTTATTTGTAATTGCAATTCCTCCTTCCTTTTAGGAGTTTTTTGTCCCCTTATTGTATATGAAATAAATAACGACTATCTAAAATAGGGACTGTGTATGGTTATGATACCCACTTAGCGCCCAAAAGTCCTGATAATACCTACTTTCATATATCTCGAAACGAATGATTCGCAGTAATTATCGTAATTAGAAAGCTGTGCAATTTAGCTTTGGGATCACTCTCATTCTGTGGCTATTTTACAGAACCTATAACCCCGACTTCGGACCATATAAACTCGTTTCTATCAATTAGCTTTGAAAGAGAACCTGCATGACGAAAACGGCGTGTTTGTCATGGACGTTTTTTTGTCGTGACACGTTGATTTGCCTGTACAGGTAGGCAACAAACTTTGCTGTGAATATCCATCCCCCGTAGCCAGTTGATCAAGTCCGAGAAAGATGGTCGAAAATCCACTTAGATCGCTATTTTTCAAAGTCTGGGGATGGGGTATCTTCTCCTGCTGTATGGGTCCAAGAATCACCCGGCTGGATGATTCAGTGGAACCAAGGTGTAAGTAAACCAGAAATGCCCCCATATTTCTACCCAAATGTTACAAATGCTATCAACCCCCAGGATTTCTGATACAACAGTTAGTCTTTAGAGTTAGTGACACGTGAAGCCGTCAAAAGGAGGCCAATGACCTTGTCATCACGATCACGTTCAAACCCGTCTTCTGGGCGTTATCAACGCACCTTCGCTGCGATGACTACAAAGAGTGCCAGGCCTAAATATCCTAAATTTTTGACACCTATGCTTATAGCCATCCTGTCAAAAAACTTTTTTCTATCCACACCCGTCTCCTAACACCCCCTCTAGAGCGAATAGGGAGCTCTGCAACCTGAATTATGCTGGGACTGATTTATCGATGAGACTCCGTTTTGCCCAGTAATCACAATGTTTACCTTAACAAGTAACTTGCCGCAATTTTCAGACCAGCTTCACTGTCACCGAAAAACTTCATTTAGATACGTTGAGAAAAAGGACCCCTTTCTCCATAAAATCCATATATCTAGAAGAATTCTCCTCAACGTAAACTCCAAGCCTAGGAAGTCTGTCATGTAGGAGACGCCACTTCTCAGCAAGGAACAGGGACGAGATTTTGTCCAACTCCCAGGAAGCCACGTCAACCATCGACGAGAAGAGCATAAGGCAAAATATGCCATTTTTGCAATCACAATGTGATACAAAAATATACAAAATCATTTTTTTAAAGCGGAGCATTGTCAGCAGGAAGGAGGAGGCTTTGAGCAGGCAGCAGAGATGTGGAAACGGTGAAGGAAGAGTGGGGCTAAAAGAACACTTTAGACAAGAGAGTGGGCAAGACGTCAATAGTCAAGCTGTCGCGGAATGTCATTATTGCGGACATCTGTTCTGCTGTGTGTCGATCGCTCTCTCTACACTCGCCTTCTCCACCCTGAAATAGAAAGTGGTAACGGTAGAAGCTGAGAGGGAGGCAAGTTGATGGCTGCACAGGCAGAAGCAGATCAAATCCCTCCCCCCTCATGCCATTTAGGTCACTTAGAGGTCGGTAAATACGCTCGACATCAAATCTTGCCCCAACCACTCAGGAGGACTAACGCTTGAATAATTAATGCCCTGTCAACGAGGCGCTGAAAGGCGGAGAAATGTTCTCATTTGTGAGGCGAACTGTTTAATTACACGGACTCTTGAGTCTCCAGGGCTCATTGCTACTTTTTCGGTCCACTCCTTCGCGGTCACCTTTCCCGTTTAACAACCGACATGCCTGGATTACGGCTCTGGAGAGGACTCAAGGCGCTACTCGACCACATGTAACAAGGTTAAGGAACGATTCTAGAGTGCTTCGATTTCAACTTGGACGGGCTCTGTGAGCAGGCAACAGGAATATATGTGAGCTACGAGAATGTGCTGTTGGCAAACGAAAAGAATCCCAGAGCAGACGTCTGCTCGACTCCAACACTGATTTGAGAACTTTTCTACACCTCACAACATCACTTTCACCCGTTGAAACTCGGGATTTCTTGACTAGCTCTAAACAAAAAGTGGGAGTTGTCGAAGTGCGCGTGGAAAAGCTTTCCAACAAATGAAGAGAAATAGCCAAATAACGAACCTAGGCAGTGACCTTCGTGTATTTGGCGTCGAATAGGCCGACGGCGGGAGAGCTGACAGCACCCGACTTGATGGCGTCACCAGTTCGTCGATTATGTCGACAGATTTTGAAAAGGAGGATGGTGAGCGTGACAAGTAGGATAAATAGAAGGCCCACGAATACGCTCATAGCAATAAGAACAATGCGGCGTCCATAATTTGGTTGCACGTAGACACTATTGTAGAGCGTTTCCAAGGCATCAGCTTCCGCCACGGCTTTCTAGGTAGTGAAGGGAGATTATCAGGACACACTCCAACCAATCACAGAAGGTAGTGAACTTTATCAAGTAAGCCTGGCTACCAAATAACCTCCCCGCCGTCCGAATCGGGGGCGACCTCAGCGGAAACTTCGAGACGACGACGACAGGTGGATTCTCTTCCGAGGTAATTAAGTCATCAGAGTCAATTGAATTCCAGAATCAAAAACCTGTTTATTTACGTGAGGTACCATTTAAAGACAAAAAATGCTGCTGCTGTCAGTGTCACAGTTATCAGTTGATGACACCTAGTCACTTCAAATAGCGGTGTAAACAGATCGGTGGAGGATATGTAGGACGATGCTTTTTGACCGGGGGTGAGCTACCCTTCTAGTTACCGCCTGGCAAGCAAATTGGTGGTAAGTCCTGTAGGACGAGTGTTGAAGGTCAGTTTGCAATCTCCTCTTGCTGGGAGGAGCTGATTGGACCCGGTGAAGCCTGGATGAATAATGATAGTCGAGAGCCTCTTCGGTTCCGTATTTGACTATGTAGACCGTCCCAGCCTTGCGAGATTCAGTTATGAGGCGGGTCACAAAAGTCAAATGCTCCTGGACCTACTACCAACCTCGGGGAGGGTATAGATCAACGACTTGAAGCAAAGGAAGGTCACTACCGCTGCCGAGACCCTCGCTCATTCCATTTTTTTGTCGATAGGTTCATCCATACACCCAAACTAGATTGTTTACCCTGTCAGATGAAATGTGAGATAAAGCCTCCTCGGCTTTGTGCAAATACCCAACCCATCGAATAAAGTTAACTGACTTCATCAAAGCAAATGTAGGCACATACACACACACAAGCACACCAACGAATGGACAAATTGGAGGTTAGGGCGGGGGAGGGGGGGAGAGGAGGCGGAGACAGGTAAACAGGGTAGCCTGCACATTAAATTTCGCTGTGCAGACGGCTAAGTGTCTGAGTGAGAGCTCCAACATCACGCCACTTCGGATGATGAATGGCGTGACTATCGCGCGATATTTATTACTGGCGGTTGGACTCACCTCCTCGAACCAAACCACCGGAAGGAATGTCGGCCTTGTCCAGTTTTTGAATTCGTCACTGAAAGGGAAAACACTTTAGGCTTTGATAGGTCGAGGAGATACAGACTGTTTCTTTAACTATTCGTCTGGTTACGCAGGCACTTAAACCTCCGCGATTGTACTGTCGCTGGGCCGCGTGGCCTCCAGGCCGTCTCGGTAGCCCCTCAACCCTACCACATGTTGACAATACATATGCTACCCTAGTATTACGTCTTCTTTCATCGCCAAGGAAGTCTTGGGACGCTGCCAGGCTACTTGCATGCTTGAAGTACTTTGAGGCGCCTCTTCAGGTCATGTCCCACTTCCGCAATGCTCCTGGTGTCCTACCTCGACTGCCATTGGCCTCTAGGCGCGTTATGGAATTTGGTTTGCTATTAAAGAATTATTGTAGAAAGTGTGGAGATTCGAGTGATGCACTGTCACCTCCTCCCCCTCCCCTCCGCTTCGATACAAATGTACCAAGTGGTAGAAGGAGGGTACTTGCTTAACCTGGACAAGTGAATACACGGACCTCTTGACACTCAAATCACCCGCACTACTGGTGTTTTAGCTCTGCTGTACTTTTATGGGTGACCAACTTACAGAATCTTATGCCATGGAATGGCCTCAAGGATCTGCATTGATAACAGAACCAGTACACTCACTTCAGTGTAACAGTAGTCCCGATTTCTACGCATTGATAGGACGTCCAAATGGAAGAGAGGCAATCAAAATCAAGTCAACTTTTACCAATTGGCCAAACCTAGAGTTCCACACCATTACCGATGACGTAGGGAAAAGAAATCATCCTTCATAAACAGCTTTTGGTGGCATGGTGCTTTGGCACTACTTCCCATACGGTCTCCTCCCCGGTACAGGATAAAGGGAGCTGAAGCGGCAGAACGGTCACATGGAGCCCCCCAGGACTGTTGCACAGAAAGCGACCTCTTTGCAATGACTACTTGACTGCCCCGAGTCCATTCAGCCTCATTCATCCCATTTTACTCATTTCCTCCACACTTTCAGTCTCCTTCCTTTTACGACGTGATAATGTTACCTTCACTCCTGTCTCGCGGATACTTCAACTACCGAGGTGGCGATTTAAAACAGGCCCAAAACTATCACCGCTCTTCAAAATGGCAACTTACGACATCATTCTCGAGGGACGCACATAAACGGAGATTTGAAGACGTTTGTAGGCCTCAAGCACCAATCCGAGTTTCTAAAATGGGTGATCAAAAGGGAGTCACAAAAGGCTAACAGGCTGACTTTGACTGTAGTGTCTGCAATGCACCCAGTTGAAATGACAAGACACCTGACCTCCAGACACGATTTCCGAGTACATATGCACGCAATAGTGCTGTCACCGCTGACACCACTTGCCAAAAGAATATAGTTTAGTAGAGATGACACACTGATTCCACCTTCATGGCTCAAAATGTTGACAAGTTGATATTTATTGAATCCATAATCGATATCCACTTCTTGTTACTGCCAAATTGGCAATTTGTCAGTAGGGTCCTGAAATGCAGGCGGACTTTAACAAACCCAGTGTCTGTGTTTGAGGCCATAAAAAAAAGGAAACCGAGCTTCCAAAGTTTTTGCGCAGAAGTGCCAATGCTGCGGCACCAAAAAAAAGCATGGAACAAATGATGGCAAGAAATCTCGGAATCTGGGAGAATGCTCTGATGACTACCATCAACCTTGTGGATTCAAAAGGTGGATCTGGAGGCAATTGCCTCCAGAAAAGTCTCAAGTTAGCAATTATTTTGCTTGGTCAAGCCACATAACTCCTTTAATCTTTGGGAGGAACTTTTTCGGACCATCGTAGTCACCAGCTAGCTAAGTCGCCTAGTAAGCTACCACTTCCAACCTCGGCAGCAATCACTACCGTGGCCAGAACAATTGGGTGGTTTCAATAAGAGATGTTAAAATCAAACCACGACACCTGAATTCACCAAAGGGGAGAAAAAAAGTTCAAGAAACATAAACCGCAATTGTTTTCGGTATGGTTCTCTACACTTATTCCAGGGTTGAATCGGGACATGCGAAGCTTCGATACTGAAATACTTTTAAGTACGACCAAATCAGACTAGCACGTTATATTTTACTATTATTCCCTTTGAAACGGATCATCGCATAGGCCTTTGAAAAGTTTACGCCATTCCAATCGAGCACCCCTTCATCACATTGGTTCTCGGAGCCTTTCAAAGCTGCATGAGTCCGCAGGTTTTACACCTTTGTTCACAAGGCGCTTTGTCCATCATCCAACGCAGCTGCTGTACCACTGTGACTTGATATGGGGACGGAGAGTGGGTGGACTGATCCACGACGTTGCTCACCGGCCACTACTGGCACTGTGCTAGCATCCATATGCTTATGAATTTGCCAGTCCCAGGTTAATTTGAACGCGCTTCGTTTATCACCCGTTTCAAGCAAAACAGCAGTTCATTCATGCAACACCGCTGGCTCGGTCCAATGGTGACCGCAAGCGTGAATCACATTGTGGTGGTGATGGTGGTTGTGTGGACTGTTCACACGACCACTGCTGTCACTCATTTCTTGTCTGTGTTGCTAATGGCGTAGCAGCGGAAATAAAAGGACCAGCATTTACACCAGACACAACGAGAATAACTAAGTAGGGCTACCAGCATACTCTGGCCCTTCTTTCGATTTTGGGCTGTGAAACTAGGCTTTTGACGATGAAAGTGGCCTACGACAAGCAGACTGACAAAACGTGATTTCTTTCAAGGCCAGGAAGTATTCAAGAAGTCACATTAACTCAATGGATATGGCCTTGAACAAGTCAACTCCCTTAAGAAAATGTGTATGGATGTTTTTGTTGGCACAATTTCCCTCCACACACCTCCTAGAAGTCCCCAACTCACCGGTTCCACAAAGATCTTCGTGGAGGCATTGTCAGCTGTAGGCGTGGGCAGACCTTCCACCCCTTCTCGGACTGTTGGATCAGCACCAAAGAAATATGGTTGCGAGCTGTAGATCGGTGGTCGCAACTCGTTCTGTCGACGACATGAGGAAAGGTCAAAGATGCCGGCTGGTGGACAGGGGGGACCCGCTGTCTTTGGTGGACAGTAGCCCTTATTGGCCGGATTTACAGAGGCCGGTTCTGCGGTCTCCGGTGTACCACCCATAGAAAGGACCTAGAGGGAATGAGTAAATGTTGAAGTCTCCAGCCTCGCACGGGTTAGTGAAATCGTAGAGCCAATGCATTTACAGATGAAGCATTTTGCCAGTTAATGGACGCAACAGCTTGGAAAGCTTCCTTCTGGCAGATAAATCCATCTCAGGTTACAGGAGCAATGGAAATAACAATTAAAGTAATTTCTCTCCTTATATAGTTAAAAAAGGGTCAATAATTTCACTATTTGTCAATTATGCATCGACGGACTTGATGGTGAAATTAACCACTTGTAAAGGACATAACAAAGAAGGCAGCAAAATTATCTACTTCTTTCGAAAATGCGGTGCTTTTCACCAGACTACTGCAGCAAATGTTGGGCTAAAAGGCTAGCTTGAAGCCTTTATGCAAGTAGCTACGAGAAACGTGACGACTGCTATCACAAGACAGCCTTTGGAATGTCACATACTAGATATTACGTTGAAGGCCTTTGTCAAATTTATTCCCTTTACATCATGCCTCCTCGTTTCATAACTTTTTACCACCCTTTTGGAGGCAGCAGACCCCAATTAGCGCTCCTTCCGTTAAATACAAACGGAATAATGAAAGGATAAAGTTGAGGGGAGGACGGGAGCTTCTTTAACTGATCTGTTTGAGGCAGTTTCACAGACAGAGGAAAGATTTGGGATAGAAAGTATGGCTTGGCCGCCATTCCCTGGGGGCTCCGGTGTGTCGATCACTCGGTCAAGTGATTATAAAAGTACAGGAGAAAGTTCACGCACATGATCGCTCAGATAAACATATACACAACCACAGCACCTCCCTTTCCTGCTTCTCTATCAAGTTGTGATTTGGCATGCTTTGGGTAAACAGAGGAGGCATTTTAAGGAAGCCCAGAAGTATTTCACCATCTAGCCCACTTCTTGTTGTGGAACAGCGTCTAGCACACGCCACGGCCTTCAAAGGATACTCTGAATACACTTTACAGAAATAGCTGGGATAGGTGGGTCTCCTGAGGCATATGGGATGCACAACCACCACTGCATGGGGCAGTTTGTTGCCTGCTATGGACAGGCATTGCAATCTTCATTCCTGCCACTCGAATACTGAAAGCGACTAAAGTCTACCATCCACCACGGAGAGCACCAAGGCCAACACTCAAATCAAGACGGAAGGTATGTATGACTACGTAGACGTTTTCAATCTATCACGATTTTATGACGCCCGACTAGAAGGGGACGATCTAAAGCTCACCTTCAATTTATCCGAGTTGGTCAATTTTCCTGGTCCATCCACTTTCAATTCAAAGGATCGGCAAAGATCGGCAGCGAAAATGAATCGCCTCGAATTCATGCTCACATCCGGCGCTAAGTGCGATCCATCTGAGAAGAGGTAAGTAAATCACCGAAATACGATATGAAGAGGAGGCACTTCAGCTTGCGCTAATTTAAACCCACCAGTTCCTTTGATTTGATTGGCCTCGTCGGAAGACCATACATCAAGGACACTGAAACGAAATGAAGAGAATGGAAAAGTTGAAATGATTGGGAACGATCCTTCCCTCCTCCTTGAAACAGCTTCATGGAGGCTCTTTACTTATTTATTGAAAGAGTATTTCAGTAGTATAGTGGGAGAGAAAAAAACACTCAAGTTGGGGGTTAAGGTGCATTCACAAAAGTGATAGAAGTTATTTTCAGACAAGAGTCTCACCTTTTACCCTTATAAGAGAGAATATTACCAAGTTGGGTGATATCACTGGCCCCAGTATCAATCACAAAGGGCCCATCGTCAGTGCCATTTTTCTACGGAAAAGAAAAATAAATCGAGAGCGGTTCGACGGATTCCTTGGGAGCATTCATTATGGCCTATGCGGCAACGATAGACGTAGACATGTCAAAGCTTGTTGCTTATCACCGAGGCAGTGATTTATCCAAGGCAGAAATGGTCCCTTGGGTTAGAAATTCTCGTTTTCAAGGAAACTGAGGATATTAGATATAGGAATAGTGCTTATTCAAATCATGAACTTCTAAGCTTTCAGCAATTTTTTTTCCCAAGAAGACAGTAATTTTGAGTTACAGGAAGAAAAGTTGTACATTCATCAAACCTAGCATTCTACTTAGCCAAGATTGACCCCCTACTAAATCTTTCCTGAGGCAAACTTTCACCAAAGGAGCTCCACAACCAACCAAGTAATTAAGATGAAACATCTTGGACTTACACCAAACATGAGACCAACTTTATTGGATGGGCACCTCCTGGAGTCAAGGGCATTGCAGGCCTCGGTAACGGGGTCCTCATAGCCCCAGAGGAACTCGGTTACAGTAGTGTTGATAAAGACTTTTAAGTCCATTAAGATTGTCAAGAAAGCGTACTCGGTTGAACTCGGTCCGTTACCGGCTTCCGCATTAGCTGACAAGGTCTATAAAGATCAAATTACAGGAGGATAGATGTGGGCATGAATCCAGTGGGGTGGGATAGAATAACCTACCACAAGGGGGATACTGATCCCAACAACAATGTCATTGTCAGGATCACCGGCTGAGAGGTTCCGATTTAGTGTAAAAGTGAGACGTTGGTAGAAGGAGACCTGAGAATGGTCGCCTTTTGGCCAAGTGATGTTCGTCTTCTCCCGTTTTTCCCTACAATTAAGAAACAATTACCTCAAATGTCCACCTACAAAGTCGGTCTCCAGGCCCTGATAATTACAATGAAAGGGAGGAACAGCATCAGAAGTTCCTGCCCTATCAGAACTCAAAATTGGGGATTTCAGTAACAGTTACTTCTAAACTTTGGTGAGGAGAAGGAGTTGCCATTGTGCCACATCACGCTCAAATTGGGTGGAGAATGGCCAAATTGACGTTGTTGAGGCAATCCAAGTCGTGGAGGTGGGCCAAACCATCACAACATAGACAGATGGAGATTGATCTAAATGAACTGCTTAGACAGCATCACCAGACGTGTATCAGCAGTGCGATCTTTTTGATGTCGGAGAGGGACGATGGAAAACAGCTCTCGTCTCTACTTCCAAGGGGGAGTCCCAAAAAAGGCAAGTGAATCGTCTAGACGATTACAAGACACCTTCGCAAGGAGATGCATATCAAAGCCAAATTCCGACTTACATGTAGACATATGGTCCGATTTCTTTGAGCCTCGGTTTCGCTCCTTTGACGACATCTTTGTAGTTGGTGACATTGAAGAGGTAGATGGAGAAGTAGATGGGTGTATCAGGTGAAACCCAATTCGAATAGACGGAGGATGTTGGTGTTATGATGATGTTCTGAATTGGATGAAACAAGTTTTGCCTTCAATGCGAACTCCCTCATTAAAGCTTATTCTCGTCTTTCGCCAGGTCCAAGGCCCCTTTCTCAACTCGGCCTTGAAGAAGATGAGTGTGACTAAAGTCTAAGAAGCCAAATCCTTCCGCCCAAAGTTAATTTAATCAGTTTTAGCAGTCCATATGTTTAGTTACTCCACCATGACACTAACATTTGGACTATCGAATGGCTGCTGTCGCTCGGAGGTGCATAAATCATTGTAGTTACGTTGATTAATTTGTTTGTGGTACATTTCGTAGCAACTCGGATCATCATAGTGACTAAAAAAACATGTGTCACAAAGTCATGACGCCGGGGTCATGGGAAGTCAGCGGGTGTCACACATACGTGGCGCTGGTTGCAAAAATGTCAAAGGAAGAGTTGCCAATAGCTCGTGGTTGCAGTCGTACAATATTATATCATATATCATACTATGCCCCTCTTTCGGAGCTAAGGAGAGGGTATTTTTTAGTTAATTCGGTACCGCTCGAGCACCTACTTATCCACAACAATGACGTCCAATGGATGTCTGTCTGGAGGAAAAAAGGGGGAGGGAGGCAGGAAAAAGATGAGCAGCAAGACGTACCGCGTGGACCATGTGGTCAACGAGTCGATCGAAAGTGCCAAAGAGGGTGAGTAGGAGCACTGTGATCAGAAGCGTGATCGCGGTCACAGCACCGACTACGATGGCCGCCTTTTTGGAACAGTTGACGCACGCCATATTCTGCTATCGTGCTACTACCACTGCGGCTGCAACTGGAGGCGAAGCGAAAGAAAAAGAAACATAACAATAAAAGTCAGGAAGATTCGTTGCAGCCTAGCAAGGAAGACTATAACCACTAGATACTTGTCATTCTAAACTTTCTACGGTACCTGAAGCTATCAAAGCTAACCTGCGGATGACACTTACTTGTCTAATTGCATCATTAAATTTGGCTAATTCAATGAAAAGAGGAATTTGAACTCACAGTGTAAGATACGGAAACGAAGCAACCCCCAGGACCGCTCTGGAGCGTGCCAATTAGTCAATTGGCGGAGTGCTGCAACTAACTTATCATTGCATGGCCAACACCAGCCAATCAGCATGGAGAGCCAATGAGCACCTAAGTTAATGACCTCTAATTCACCAATAAGAGTGTAATCCTCGTAATCCAATCAACATAGAGAGCTACCATGACCAAGTGTCTACTGCATGTGGCCCTTACTCAGTATGGATCGCCAGTCTCCTTTTAACGCTTGAAGTAGTCTTATTGTTACCCGTATTTCTAGTGGCATCTGAATGCCTCGATAAAGATGACACAGACCGCTAATCTCGGTGGGTCAATCAACAGGGCGTGTCAGATAATGCGGTACTCAAGTACCAACCACCTCACCTTTGGCATTCAAGAATGCTTAAAGATAATGAAACAAGTGTGCTGTTCCAACTTTCCAGTAATGTAGCGCCAGCATTCATTCTACAGCCGTTGAGCATGATTGATTGCATCGACACTTACGTCTCTTGGTAGAACCTATAGGAAGCAGTTTTTCCACTTTGGGGATGCTTGAGAAGAACGTCACCTCAAAAAACGGCCGGAATCTCCACCATCTGTGCTAATTCCGAAGACTCTGGGCTTCGTTACCATGTATCTATATCCATTTGGTGTTTCTTAACTTGGATAGATGTATACGGTATTTGTTCCTCCCTCTAAAATGCCCCCTAATATAAGTCTCTGCCTTTCCATTGCAATGTAAGCCAACTTACTTTTCAGACACTTGGGTTCACGATTCAACTTTTCGCGGAGCCAATTAACTTGAGAGTACAATAACACGGAGAGGCGATGATGGTACAACGGCGCCATCAGTATTTGGCTACACGGCATGGGAAGGAGTATGCTGCCAACCACACCGTTAATTTGTAACCGCCTGCCAACGAACCACTCGTCACATCAATCATGCCATTGTTGTGTATTATCCGCGGCCAGCCAAGTAGTCAGGCAAGTAGGTTGCCGGTGTGGAGGCTTAGGCGGTTGAAGGCGGCTGATGGTGTGGCGAGTTTAGACCTGTTTACCTGTGAGGGTGTGTGTACATGTTTACGATATGTGCTATTCCACAGTTTTTTGACACAGTGTATAAAAAAGGGAGAAAGAAAAGGAAGCAGCGAGAGTGTCTCTGAATTGATAATTTGTCTCTCAGGAGGCAGGGCAAAGGATGTGCCTCGACAACACTGTAGTAAGTCTCAAACCGCCAAAAGAACATGTGGTTTGAAAAGCTTTGACAGGTCCATTGATCTGTCACACAGTACCACTACTTCATGCGTTGCTGATCATCACCACACGACACACCAAATGTGACTTCTCTGTTAAAATAGGGACTAGCTTAGTGTGGTTCCTAAGAGGGGGCATTAAAACGTATCAATTGAGGGAAAAGTTTGATATTAAAGTAAAAATGGGGTTGAGGGATGAAAGGCGGGGGCAAAGTGATAGCTGAACCAAGAGAGAGCCAAGGGAGTTGAAGTAATTAAACTGATAAGCTGTCGTTTTACCAGTTTGTTTTCCCAGTTGTAATACTACGATTATTTGTTTAACTCCTCGTTTTGGTTTCTTGGGGACTTGAGATTTCGCTTTTGTACTACCGCTGGGTGGTACATCCCTTGGGCCATGTCAGAAGCTCTTCAGCCCTTCTAAACGTCGGCAATACATATTCTCTCCTAGTATTAGGTCTTCATTCGTCTTCAGGGAAGTCTTGGGGGCTACATTGGTCGCCCTCATCCTAAAGGGCGACCATCATGATTTTTTATTCCTGAATACTAAACCCATAATGCCTCCTCACCTCTCTACTAGCTGGATAGAACCAAGATAGGTGGATATAAGGCCGGGCAGCAGTGAAGTGAAAACAACGTGGCAAAGAGGAACAGACGCGAAATCCGATCTCCGTGACGCTACTCTAAATTCCACCCTTTATTGAATGACGCTACCTTAAGGGCAGTCTTCTTACGACTAGAGATTGCTACATGAGATGGCCATCAGGATTTCTCTTCCCTCACTACAGTTCCTAAGCAAGACAAAACTTTAGGTCCAGTAAAAGTGTCAAGAGAGATCAGCGTCGTTAAAGGTAAATAGCTACGCAGTCTCACGCAAATGTGGTGACTGACACGGTTGCCTCGTGGGTCTATTTCTGACAGCACCGTCTGCGTTGTGATGGTCTACGGGGGGAGGTTGGCCATGGGGAGCGCCGAGACCACAATTGAAAGGTGAGAGAAGTTACGTAATGCTTAGATCGGGCATTAAAAGACACGGCCATTGTACTTCCGCCCGGCAGCATAGCCCCCTGGCCATGCTAGTAGACCCACAGCTCTTCTCTACATCAGCAATACACATTCTGGCCCAGTAGTATGTCTTCTTTCGTCATTAGGAAAGCTTCAGGTGGCTACATTGCATTTAAAGATGTATATTTGAACTGCCAATGCCACTTAATTTGTAGAGAAATTTGGCCATTTCGGGCTTAGTAAGTTGATGATCAGCCAAAGGCTGGAAAAGTCGTCCCATGGCCCCACAATATTCGGGGACAACTTAACAGTTCAGCGTCTCTTCAAAAGTTTTTATCGAAGTTGAGGATCAAAACCCACCGACTGTCCGAATTTTGTGGCAAGGAGACCGGGTGTCCGATTTTAGGGGTGGGAGTCTCACCCTTCCCTCCCCCTCACCCTTGCTGCAGGTCTGGCCGCTGTAATAATTAACGGCCACATCTACGCCCTCATCAGTCGGCGTCATGTGACAGTGATCAAGGGAAATTTAATGTGTGAAGTTTCCCTCTTTGTGGAAGGCATGATGTTTGCAGATACCCCCAAAACTGGAACACGTTGGGGGGAGAAGGCTCGCTTCCTTTGGTAGAATCCTACCCTCAATAATGATAATATTTACATCACCGAGTCTTCAGCCTCCATAGTTTTTGACCCCAGTCTCAGTCCGATGATATCAAGACTTCCATTTGTGATAACAACTCAAAGCCCTGTCCAAAATCAGGGAGGGCTGGGACACTACATTGACAATTGTGATAAGCGGGATCCTATTCAGAAGAGTTCGGCAGGCGTAAACGTCACAGAGTGAAGTTATTCCATTCTCGACGAGGCAGTCATTAAGAGCTGAAATGAAACTGAAATTAAACGGCTATTGGAGTGACGCGAAGAAATGACTCCTTTCCCAGCAGGATGAAGCTGAGATAGAGCTAGTGAGAGGTGCTGAAATGAGTTTAAGGTGACAAAGAAGAATGCATAATGAACACTAGCTTCGTGAAGATCTTCAAGTAGGTGGCTTTCCTTCCATCGATGCATCTGTTGAGAGCATGGACCCACCTGGAGCAGTACAAAGCCGTGGAGGATGAAGCTGCATTTCCATCGGTATCAATGCGATGCATCACTGACATTGTAAAGTCAAATACTTTGCCGGGTATGGGGGAACAAATTGACGTCCATCTCAGCTGCACGACATCACCATTTCTACGTTCCGCTCATGTATTTTGCAGTACCTTTAGAGTGAACGTTGAGTGGTCACTACAATCTATTCGTAAACGTCTTGATCCTCTGGTTGTCTTGAGGGAGTAGTCAGGGTTGCAGACCAGGCATCGTGATTAAAAGAATGAGGAGAAAGGAGAGCAGATATTTGTTTACCGAGATTATAACGTTGCTTTGTTTGACTTCTGACATTCGTGGCATTCTTGTTTGCATGCAGTGTAATGAAGTGAAGTCGATGTCGGTGAAAGCAAATTTTAATACTGTTTGTCAGCGAGCGTAGCCGCGTAGACGCCACTGAATGGCGCATCGCACACACACGCACAGAGATGATGCTCAGTTGGCAACGTCTTTGAGAATCCCCTGTTCCAATTGCATCAGAAATGCCAGAACCTAAAGAGGGTAATTAATCAAAAGTCGTCAGGACTGACTACTTGATTGTGCACGAGAGGGTAGTGGGGTGCTGTCACTTCGTAGTCAGGTTGCACAATGTCACACAGATCTAGCGCAACGCCGAACAATGTGGTGGAGAAGCCCCCTTGACTCACACAAAAGTACGTGATAAATAAGGATTGCTCACAGATGTCGGCAAAAGAAGTATACCCACGAGCCAACCACGCCAGTCATCCAAATGTGTGTGACTGAGATTTTTGACGCCAAGGTCAATGCTCCCTCCTAGCAATTCTACAATGGTCTTCAAACCTTGCTGTTATCTCCCTCAGCCTTCCTGTACGTCGGAAAAAGAAATGTGGTACAAAATTAACGAAAGACATCAGCATATCTTAAACACGAACCACAGGTCTTTATTGAAATTGTCGACGTACAGGAAGGATTGGAAGACCGTGCCGTCCAGCGGATGTACAATGGTAGAGCTCAAATCCCCCATGTAAGGAAAATGAAAGGTTAAACAAACAATCGAAGTATTACATAGTTCCTCCTGAATTGAACACCATGCTTGGCTATCTACTTTGTCAGCCTCCTGCGTCGGCCACCAAAACGTAGTCGGTGCTGTCCGAAATATACCCACCAACCAACAACGTCGGTCATCTGATTTGCGTGTGACTGATATTTTTGACTCCAAGGTTATTGACACCTCCTGGCAATTCTACGAGATGCAGACTTTTGGCCAGTTTTGGGAACTGCATTCGAGAAAGAGGAAATGTGCTGGTCACCTCCTAGGTCCATCGCCAGTCGTAAGAACACTGACCTAAAAGTAGGGTCATTTGATGAAGGACGGAGTTTAGAATAGTCTAGTGGAAGCAAGATTTCGCGTCTCTTCATCCCCACCACTTTGTTCGAGAGGTGGAGGGGGTATCGCTTGTTCACTTCAGTGGCAACCACATGCAGATACCGTAGACAGATCCATAACAAACTTTTAGATGGTTCACGATTGCAGTCTCTTTATTTGCAAATGCCTCTCCTGCAGACCAATGGAAATGAGGTACTTGCTAAGGGTGGAAATCATTTTCAATCCTTCTGTTAGAAGTCGTCACAGATTTTACCAACCCCAGCATATGCCCTTCTTGCGGGGCGTCAAAGTTTAGCATTTAGTGATAGAAATCAGGGCAGTTGCCTTTTGGGATAGGGTTTGCTTTCCACTGCCACCAATGTAGCGCCCCGAGCGATTTAAAGCCTCCGGGGACAACTTGAATGTCACATTGATTGTGGGGAAAAGTAACAAAAAGGGGAAATCCCTAAGCCAATTATATGCTGCCCTTAGGGCAGGAAGTCTACCGCTACCGGAGATGGCTAAATATGTAAGTATTCGCTGAGGGGAGACCATTAAATATCACAAATGCGTGACATCTCCCTTGTGTCATATCTCTTGGTTGTAAACAGAATGAGGAGAATGATACTTGGAAATTTTCCTGGCGCAGTTAAGTAGGTTACAAAGTAGCTCAAAGGCGGCATTACATAAGAACAGTAAAGTATCTGACTGTCGCCGGTGGAAAATTCTCCATCGAGTTTTTTGGTTGTCAACGTGGCAAGGAAAGTTAATTCTGTACCATATTGTTTTAGGTGATTAGGCCGTTTTTACAAAGCGGTGGTATAAGAATAACTATTCTGATCTCTTTTACTAAGCACTAAATCTTAACAAGATGGAGGAAGGGCACTTGTTGTGGAAGGGAGAATCTGTGGCAGCTACCAACAGGAGGTTCGAAAATGACGTCTTTCTTTGGCAACCACCCCAGTCCTGTGTTATGCATAGATGCCATTAACGACTGAAGCAACATTGGCCGTGTCCTTGAACCATTTGGAAGAATTCGTTACGGTACCTCTCCACTGGCTGGATGGAACTCCAATAGATAGATATGAGACTAAACAGTACTTAAGTGAGAACGAAGTTGCAAGGAGAGACTGACATGAAAAGCTATTTTTATGAAATTTTTTTGAGCGATGGACATACAAGATGGTTAGCACTTCTCCTTTTCCCTTAATACCGTTGTCAAACATGATGAAGCTTCGGGTCCAGTGGAATTGTTAAGAGGGATCAGTGAAGCTACATCAATCATCTTTCTAGTTGCAGGCAAATCGGATGATTGGCGCGGTGGTTTCGTGGGCGTATTTCTGACAGCATCAACCACGTTGTGATGGCCGCTGCAGGAGGTTGATCAAGAGAAGTGTCGGAGAAGTCGCTCAAAAGGAGAAGGGGGCTAAGTGATGCTTCGGTTGCTTACTTAACCCTTAGTTTTGGTTTCACGGGCATTTAAGACTCTGCCCTTGCACTTCCATCCACCGGAATGGCCTCCGAATCATACCAGTAAATCCAAAAGCCTTTTAGTTCCGTCCTGGCATTATGACTTCTTTCGACTTCAAGGATGATTAAGTGTACAACAGCATCGCTACCACCAGATCTCCCACTCTCCTTGTGCTTCGTCACATTTCAAATCTACAAGTATGCTGAAAGCATTGTTATAGACAGTATCAAGCCAAAAGCCCATGGTGCAACCTGTCTCAAGTTTACTGTTTCAAGAGGGTGAAGAAGGTAAAAGGGGAAGTAAATGTAAGATGAAAAATGTGATCCACCCATCTTCAATATAAACAGACCAGATGACTATTAAATAAAATTTCCATCAGACTTGGCTGCTATTGCGCCATAAACGGAAGCATTTGTTTATCCCACGATCATTCTTCATGACACTTGATGGCGGCATGGGTCACTGTGACCTTGGTATTGTAAGGAGACGTATAGTTTGCCGTTACGACGATGCCTACAAACACAGTAGCTAAAGATTTTCCAATAGGAAGAAGTAAGCAGCCGGATGCTAGAGTCCGTGATCATAAACACCTTTGGCTCTACAAAGGAAGTGGGCTTGGTAAAACACGTAAGGTATTTCTCAATCGATTTTACTCAATTTATAAATGGAAGGATCCAGTCGTAGATGCTGCATCAATCCTAAAGCTTAACAAGAAATGTGGGTCACGATGTAGGTCCTACTGAGAGCTACAGTTTTCCTCAATTCTCTGGATCTTTTAGATAAATAGGGCCATTTTTGGCATAAACTAGTCAAAAGTTAACAGTCAAAGGTAAAGTTTTGGTCGGGCCATATCTCCAACTGCCTCTTGCCTGATACCCACCAAATTCATCGTCGAATTTAGGCAGATTCCCACAGAGTTATAATTGGTATGCAAAATTCAATCTTTTTCTAGAACGCAGCCTAACCCTGAGGAATACAGATCTAGCGGGTTCCAATTTCCCTAGTACATCTCTCAGGCGCAAAAAAGCACGTGATACAATGAATTTTTTCTCAGTGCAAGAAGGGGTTTAATTAAATTTTACAGAAATAAAATCAGATTAACAAGGACTGATGTGAACCTGAGATTGAAATATGTGTTGGATAAACAAGTTTAAAACAAAAACTATTGTCTGCCATTTGCACTTAGTAACAAGCTTAGCATAAGTAAATTTGCACAAAAGTTGCGAAGGAAATACAGCTTAAAATAAAATTTTGGTTGCTATAGATAAAATTTGACTTAATAAACGTCTTACTATTTTTTCTTAAAATATTACACTCTTCTAATTTGTTTTACCCACTGTCTCCCCGGTCGTTTTGGACGGGCTCCTCTGCGTGAATTCGTTTTTTGAATCTGTGGGATGATGGCTCTTCAAGCCACGAATGTTTACAGCACCAACCAAACTGCAGACAATCTCAGCAGACATGACATCCTTAATTGGATTAATACCTGTCTAGAATCTAGCTATGGCAAAGTAGAGGAGCTCTGTACTGGTGAGTTCCAAAAAGGCGGGTTTTTTACCGCGTCTATCGAATATTTATCGCAAATTTTCCTTTGTTCTATTTGAGGCGCTGCATACTGCCAGCTCATGGACATGCTCTTCCCCGGTGTCCTTAACTTCAAAAAAATAAAGTTTAACACCAATTTGGAGCATGAGTATATAGCGAATTTCAAACAGCTGCAGGCCATTTTCAAGAAGTTGGGGGTTGATAAGGTACGTTATTAAAACTTCTTAAAGTGATTTCAGGAAGTTCCAATTGAAAAACTCGTAAAAGGAAAGTACCAGGACAACTTTGAATTCGTCCAATGGTTCAAACGTTTCTACGACGCAAATTACACCGGTCAACCTTATGATGCTCTGGCAGCTCGTGGTGGTGAACAAATAAGGGGTCATGAAAAGCCCTCCGCTAGGAGTCGCCCAGCTCCTACCCGAACAACTATCGCTACCACCGTCAGAACCGGTGACTCTCGTCCAGGTGCTTCTTTTTCTTGTATCTTTCTCAAATTAGTTTAAAGCACTGTCATAATAATATTCTTCCTAATCACAGCTGCCACGAAAAACGCTGCTTCAGCAAGACCTGCAATCTCGTCTTCCTCAGCGCCCCGTGCCAATCCCCAAACTCCCACTGATTCCATGCAAATGAGCGCTCTTCGTAACGAAATCGAAAATCTTACTTCTCAGGCATGTTTCTTTAGCTTTAGCAGCATCATTATAACCCTATAGTGGGCAAGTCATCAACACATTATCTTATTGCAGGCAGAAGAAGATCGCAGAACCATCGAAGGTCTCGTGCAGGAGCGAGATTTCTACTTCAGTAAACTTCGCGATATCGAGGATTTGTGTCGGGGGATGGGCGACAACGCATTCGCCAAAAAGTTTCTCGACATTCTTTACGCGACTGAGGTAAGTGTGCTCTCACATTGGCCTATCGCTTCTTTGCCTAATGTGGGTTCCAAGTTCAAGTTTGTAGATGGTCCTAAGGCAAGTCTACTTCTCATTACCATCAGCATGTAACCATTGTTTCGTTGCTTGCATCTTATCTATTGTAAACTGCAGGAGAACTCAGACAAAAGGCCCGTTTATGCTACAAAAGTCAGTGATTCTGGAGTTAGCTGCTTGCACTTACTGTCCGGCGCCTTGATAGACATGCTTGCTTTTGTTTCTTCCTCTCCGTGTCCGTCATTTTTCTGGCAATTTTTTTCCAGGAGTTTAAGGAGGAGCTTTTAACATTAGTTGTATTATTTACCAGCCTTATTGAGGACGTCTGGTGTCATTTCAGAATAGTAGAACATTGGGGTGATTGTGAGGGTCGACTTTCCAAGACAGGTCACTGTCGAAAGGGTTAATGGCCATACCAATCGGGCGACTTGCGTCACATTTGTGCTGTTTGGCGTAAGGCTCTCCTGGCCTTAGTAACTCCTACTTGTATCAGCAGTCTTTTTTTAATTGTTAGCATTTGATAATCAAGTTGCTAATTAAATCCCCGGTTTTGTAGTTCTGGGTTTGTCCCTTTTTAGTGAGTTTCGATTTATTGCTGTCAAAAAACTCAAGGATCTGAAAATTTTATGGAGTTTGTCTCTCTTGCTAAGACAACGTTTGAATCACTGATCCGCTTGCCTCGTTGTGAGTGCGTGGGTGTGCGTGATAACGTCTGAATGTGCGTTCCGGTGCAAATCCAATGTCTCATCACTCAACTCGTTTTGCCTTGCAGGAGGGCTTTGTGCCGCCGGAGCCTGAAGAGCCCGAGGAGTTTTAGGGCTTACAGATGATAGGGATTCTTCACTCTGCCTCAATCTTCACCACTCCTACGCCCTTGCCCAGAAGGTCTCCGCATCCATCGCTTACCTACCCAGTCAGGCATTTTGTTAAGAGTTCTCATTTCTCCGCCTCAACTACCAACGCCGCTACTACTGCTTTGAGGGCACGTTATGTTTCTTTAAGAGATGCATGTGTATATACTTCGTGCGTCCCCTTCCCTTTGCCTCTTTTGCTTCATTTTCCTTGGTCCCTTCGCTCTGTTTACCTTCTTCGACCTTTTGTTCCTCCTTTTGCTGACTTTCAAGCAATCCCGAGAGAGCAAGTCAAAAGCTTCACTCTCCCTTCGGAATTGAGTCCATTTGTCCGCTCCAGCGCTGGCATGTGCGCGTGCATGTGAATCACGCATTTTGTGCGGTCAAGTTGTATCATTTCGTCCAGCCGGTGTCCAGCGTACTTTATTTCAACCTGAAAGGAAGCCTGGACTTGCTTTTGTGAAGTGCAGTCTTATTTTGGTCGTGTAGGGTCTGTGCCTAACCGAATTTTTTTAGCCAAAGGGACTGCGTCGATCTGACTGGTCACAGATTCGCCGGGTCGAGTTGTTCGCGGTTTCTGTACTTTCTCTTTGAGTATGCTTGCGTTATTTTCATTCTAGAAGTAACTTGTCTTTCGTCGTTGGGTGTATTGCCCTGCAGTGTCGGCTAGACCAGAACGCAGTGTGGTTGGAACTGCCTTAGTGGAGAAGATTTAGTTTCGAAAGATCAACTTTTACTACCTTTCTCGTGAGCACGGTAAGGTGTTCCTTATCGTTGTGATTTGATTGGTGCTCCGTTCACCCCCCTGTTGGGCAAGCCTTTCCGCATGACTGAAGCTCTCCATGGTATGCAGATTTTATGCATTAAATCTGCTGCATTTATTCTCCGCCTAGCACATCAACTGCCCTAGTGAAGTTGGCTTTCTTTTATCGTGTTTATTAGTGTCAGCGGCAGGTCCAGAGGACGCTGACCGCACTGTGTTTGATACGGGGACCATTTCTAAGAGTTGACAAGTACAGAGGTGTGACGATGTGTCTATGTTTCACCTCTTCTCTGCATTGACAATGGGTCATGTATATGCCAGCCTCGCTATGCTCAGGTCACATGATCAAAAACCACGCTGATAAGTGCCAAGAGCATGACTTCAGATGCAAATGAAACTTCACACTCTAGTGACAGGTGCAGATGCTATTGGCACGCTTTTCCCGTTCTAGCCCCGGCATGGAGGTAGAAGCTTGTCCTTCTAAAAGTGTTTTCTCTATGCGGAAAAGCATGCTCGGTCATTTAGCCCACCAAGGCTGTCCGAATGCTGATAATCTAAGGTGGTTCCTGAGGTCATGAACGGTGTGGGTCATGTTACATCTCCCTACTTGTCCGCCCTACAGGGTGGGCTGCATCCGGACACTAGAGGCAGATGTCCAGTTCCTAATGGCCCGTATTTCAGCTGGACTGCTTATTCCCATGCCTGAGTTTAAGGTCTCTCCGTCTGTCTGGCATCGTTCAGGGAGTTCTGATTGTTGGGCGTGGCATCAGAATTGACCATCCAAAAGTCACTTTTTGCATCCCACCTGGAGCTGGCTAGGTGTGTGCGTCGTCACAGAATGTCCTCTTGAAGATGTTTAGCCAACTTCCCAGCATTCGTTCGTCTCTCTGTAGTATTTTAGTGAGGACTGGCGGATTTAAATGTGCCTTGGAGAATGGGAAAATGTTAAATGCACCTCCAGCGGCGAGATGGCGACAATTCGCATGTCCGAAAGCGCAGTGACTAATCGGATTCGTGACTCAACTGCTCGGAGCGGCTGACTTACTGCCCGGGGAGGGAAAGGGCTGCCGCCGATAGCGCATTTCATCACCATGGCTACTGGCAGTGGATTGTCGGGCCGTGCAATTGTTTGTCTTGACTGATAAAAGGGGGCTCTTGAGAATGAGGAAAATGAAGGTGGGGTCGAGGGTGGGCGGAGGCCGGGCCGTGTCCACTTGATTAAGCTTGCAAGTGACGACCGTGTGTGTGGGGTGGGCAGGACGTCCGCTGTGGTTGACGCACCTCGGACTGCGACCTGGGGGCACGCAAAACTGTGATGTGGCAGGGGTGGCCGATTGTACGCAAAGCAGATCAGTTTTGTTCAATGGGAGAGGCCTCTTGGAGTTGTGAAGAAACTCCACTTCTTGCGGTAAAGTTTAGCTCCTGATTGACGGGGTGACACCGTATTGTCAGTCTGGGGGCTAGTTTGCTAAAAATTGAGCGGGGTCACATGGTTATCTACCTAGTTAAAGATCTCGATGATAGGAGATGGCGTAGGATGCCTACCGGCGATAGAATCCAATGAAGAAGCCGAACTCCTCTCTCTCGTAAATTTCCTCCACTTTTTTGGAGCGTTCCAATCCTTGCAGGTACTGATGGCCGGTTGTTGCAGATTCTGGCTAGTGCGATGCGGAAACAGCCCAAATTCGCCTCCCCAGGAGTGTGTTTGGGAGAAACAGGGGAATTTCAACTACTGCTTGGCCGTAGACGGAGGTGGAAGCCATTTCATTGGTTGATTAAATCTGGACGACCCATTGGAATGTCATTTGCTTCCTATGCATAATTTGGTTATTTTCCCTACGTAGATATTTAGAAGGATGCCTTTTTGACGTCCACTTATTCAATTCCTGTTGCACGATCCATTCAACTAAGTAAATGTTCAGCAATGTTGCCTGCAACATGTCGAGTTTGGGACACGCCTATTCACCACCGTTACGATTGCTTCACAGTTTCCCCTCCGATCTGATCAATGCCTCAGCTCCGATACTCAACTTATCTGATGGTGTGGAGCTTCTCAAGGAACTAACGAGCCGTCTTCAAATTCATTTGTTAGTCACACCGCCTTCTGGACATTTCTCCAGTATCTCAAACCGTCCCGGTACCTCAACAGAAAGGCTTCATTAATCTAACCCACGTTGGAATTCATAAGCTGAAGGTCGAAGAACCTTCAAAATTAATTGTGAACGGCCTTGAGTCCTAAACTTACTTCTAAAAGGAGTTTGGACTAACACAGACTGGCATCCACGTATCTGGAATGTGCTGGGGAGTGAAATTCCTAGCCGTGGCCAAAGAACTGGTGCAGATTTTTTTTTCAAAACCCCATTTTGCTGAGCCCCTTTTATTGAATTTCCAGAATTTTGACCATGAAACGGGAAAAAATACCAGAGATGCGAGAGACACTCAAACAGCATCACATCGCCCGAAAGCGAGGCGCGAAGGTCGGTAAGACTTTCATGCTACTTATAAATGGTTAATAGTAGTATGTTTCTGCTTTTGGTTATTAGTAATTATGGGACATTATAGTCAAGTAGGAGCGAACTCAGGTCAGATTAATTTATGCTCAGAAATAAAATCCACTGCCAAGAGAGAACTTCTCAAACTGGCCAGGCAAATGTCCGCAAATTATAGTCGGCGCAAGCATACTGAGTCTGCATCAGAACTTCCTTGTAAAAATCATATTAAAAAACAGATGCAAGCAATCCATAATTTCTAATTGCTCTTACTTTACAATTCAGTACCAAACAGCTTAAATTAAAGCTTAGCTTTGCAAGACTGAAGGGAGAATCTTCCCAATGACGCGAGGTATCAACATGTCATTCCACCTTCCAGGTAATCGAACGTATCATATTTAGCAAACAAACAAAATTTTATTTTAGTGGACCAAGAATGACAACGATGATGGGCACCGTGGATACTAAGTCTCCTTTAAATTTGTCAAAGATTCACTGCACTGTCTGTGCTTCAAATAGTTGAGCGTGGGGCAAAAAATTGCGTCCAAGATTGGGCAGAAATTCAAACAATACCGTGAAGTCTGGGTAGGAAGTTGAAGAATCGGCGCTTCTGACATATGGATGGAATCCATTAGGATGTTAAGCCATATTTCCCTCCCTTAGACGGGAGAACATTCCAGATATTTGTTAGGAGTGTGGTTGTCAGTTTAACTAGGTGGGATAACTTCGTCAAGTCGGGGTCGACGAGGGCACTGCGATGCGTTGGTTGTTTATTTAGATTGCAGTTTCGATAACCGAGCCACTTTGGGTCGCGGCAGTTGTGCCTTTGCAGCGTGGACTGACCTCTGGGCCATGCCAGTAGCTCCAAGCCCTACTGATGCCGAATCTTCATATATTCGGTCCGAGTATTTTGTCTTCTTTCGTCTTCATGGAAGTCTCGGGACGCTTCAACACCCCCTACTGTTCGGGGCTAATCTGTGACCGCAGATAGGACGTCATTCAAGCCTTACTTGAGACTGGCTGCCAAAAACGTTGCATTTGGCAGCAAGGTGACTTTGCATTGCACGACAGTGGTCGGTGGAAAACGTCAAGAGGAATTGGTGAAAAGGGATGTAAGTTTTTTTTTTAAAATCCGGTTGCTTCCAAGCCTCGTCGGCATAATCGTTGCGATTTTCACATAGTGAGTCACATACCAGCGCCGAAGTGATTAACTCCATGGCCTTGGACACCTATGTAAACAAATTGCAGTGACCTACCTATGTTGAAGAGGCTTAATGTTTAAGGACTGACTGTACCGGTAACTACCATATTCCACATGTCTTCTCGTCCCCACTAAGTTAGCACGAGTACCATCAGTTGAGTCGCCCGAGAAAGGGAGAGGGTAGGGCGGGGCGTTGTTGAGGCAGTGGCGGGGGGGGGGGAAGGCAGTAAAAAACAAAACTAGCTGATGACTATCTCCAACCGCTATTATTTGATGGATGAACACCCCCCTGCTTACCTGTGAGGCAGGTCTCTATCGGCTTCAGATCTTGCCACAGCAAAATGACTCCCATAAGGTGTTTTAGAAAGGTAAAAAACGATTTTAAAATTCATCAAAAATTGAAGTGCTTTGATTGTTTAATTCTTTGTTTTGTTTCAATGGGCATTTAGGGCCCTGCCTTTGCGCTCCCACTGGGCGGGATGGCCTCTGGGTCGTGTCCGTAGGCTTTAGCCTTTCCTCTACGTCGGCAGTACATACTCCGCCCTTGTATTGCGACTTCATTCGAATCCGGGTGCTACATTGGTAGCAGTAGGGAACAATTAAAGCATTAAAGCGGGGGGGGGGGGAGGGAAGACATGCATTTGCTGCAGATGGAAGAATCTGTGAAGGCTTTTGTATTTCGCTAAAATGATATTAACAAGTGAAGCGACTCTAGCGACTTTCCGTAAAACATCCGGAAAAGTTCGTTAGGGGGCTGTCTACAGTACCTGCCAGAAGATGTCAATCGAGTGAACACGCGATGCTCCCTTCACCTCTCTACAAGCTGGATAGAACCCAGATAGGCATGGCTGGACAAGAATAAAGTGAGAACAAAGTGACGACAATCAGATGCACATACTAATCCCCACGTCCTCCAGTAAATGACTCTACTCTTATGTCTGTGTTTTTACGACTGTTGATGGGCGTATAAGAGGACCAGTACACTCTCCCTTCCCCCCAATACAGTCTTCGAGCAGGTCCCTCATCCACATCCAGTAGAACTGCCAGGACGGACAAATGAGTATTTGTCTTATAACTCCGATCACGTTGTTAGGGTCAGAGTGGAAGGCTGATTAAGGGGAATGAAGGAAACCACATTCGAAGGGGAAAGTGACTTTTTTTCAGCTCTCGGGTCTCGGTTACGCAGACACTTAAGTCTCGGTGGCTGTACTTCTGCTGGATAACACGGCCTCCAGGTAACACATACATTCAACTCTAGCATTGTGTCTTCCATCGATTTTAGGAAAAACTTGGAGCGCTGCATAATTAACATTTATTTAATTTATTTTTTATAAAAATTTGGGAATTGCTTTGCGTCGCTGTAAACTAAGAAATCTGCAAATCTTTAAGGGTAGTCAAATAATCTATGTGCGCCTGAAGAGGCTACAATCCACCCTAGCAATTAGCAGGGAAGAGATGAGAGACGCAAATACACCTTTTTTCTTAGAAAACAACCTTCATCCCCTCTTGAAATTTAAGAATAGGCGAGGTTACCACGTTTATCTCATCTCCTGGTGACGCTCAATTACGCAGTTACTCATCCATATCTGGATTCATTGTGATGGCGTCTAAGGAATGCTGAGGATGACTGAATTGGTTTGTTAAGCAAATAACGTAAAATCATTGCAAATGATAAAATATAATAAAACTACTTTGTACGCCTTGGGGGGAAATAAAGTAGTGAAGGCTAAAATTTAATTGGTTAATCTTACGAAACAAAGTACCTGTCGATGTAGCTTAGTGAAGTGACTTGGCCAAGTACCTGGTGAATATCAATAATGTATGGAAAAAGGGACGCCAATAAGTTTACTTATTTTGACAAACAATGGCTCATAAAATGGGGTAGATAGAATTCCACTTCCTATTGTATTTGCATTGGACGAATAATTCATGCTACTGTTTTCTTGTAAGTAGTCTGTCTGCGGCAGGCCCCTAAGTTGTCGAGGTAATTTCAATTAGTGTTGTGAAAAATGTTGACCCTCACGACACAAAATTTGCCAAGACCACTAGAACCTACGCTCCACGAAAACGAAGGGGTGATTAATTGCTTTGAGCAGGAATTTATATCGGGAGGGGTTAGCTGTGTGCGAAAGGGCCTGTGTTACAAGGTTGCAAAAAAGTGGAGGAAAGAAGGCAAGGACATAACTTATCTGAGCCTTCTAAACTTCCTGTGGAAGCTTGACCTTCCATTCCCTGGACACATTTCTTATGCATAATCACGTTTCTTTAAGTTAAATCAACAGCTAGGAACAATCTATTTCTGCACCATTACGCTCCAAACCGGAGTTTCGATGCATTCATGGCCGAGTCTTAGAAAGGAAAGGATAATTTGATGTGAGGGAGAATCTGCCAAAAAATTAGAGATTTAAAATTAGTACACAAATGTAGATATTGTTTTGTGTGACATCAATTAAATGGATGATCTAATGCGCGGTTGAGCCCACCAAGGGTAATGCTCACTTAATTAATGGAGTGATATCTCAGCTTACTATTTGCTCTGATATAAATTTGGTTAAAACACTTACACTTTTGCTCATAAACATAAAAGGTCGGGCAATTCTGATTCCAAAGTGCGCTAAGCCAACCAGAGAGGTGTACCATCCGGTTTTGGAGAAGTCGTAAGCAATCCATCGATGCAAACGCCAAATGTGGAAGCAGATCGGGGCTACTTTAAGTTGGGATGCTTCGCTCATCTACCTGGCGAGCAATATAGGAGGTCAAGTGGAGCCTGATGACCTTTAAAAGTGTTTAATAGCCTATGTAAAGGAATGGGAGGTTGTCAGTGAGGCAGCATTTTAAGCAAATCACTTCGAAATGTCTGATTTCCGGATTTGAGAGCCCTTTTTCCACTTTGAAAAAATTAGTGTCAGATGCACCTTAATTTCATCGGATAATCACCTAACTATGCAAATGTATAGCCATCGCATTTAGTTTGAACTAAATTTTTTTTGTTTTGAGCTGAAAGCACAAATTTTGACGGCTGATAGTGCGCACTTTCTCTCGCCTATTCATCTTGCCAAAGACGCGACTGTAATAATTAAATCAACTATTAAAAATCCTTCAATCACCTCTCAGCCTAATCAACTCAAAAAAGTTCAAAGGGAAGACAATTTTATGAGGTGACTTTAGTGTTTGCCTTTGTGAGAGAGAGAGAGAGGAAAATAAGAGGGTCAGAGTTGGCAATGCAGTTGTAGTACTTTTGTTGCCTGTTGGAAGTTTTATTTTGGTTGCCTGAGCGCTTTAACCTCTTTCGGGCCACCTGGCATCCAAGACACGTCAGTAGCCCCTCAGCCCGTCTCCATGGCGGTAAGATATATTATGTCCAAGTATTAAGCCTTCTTTCGTTTTCAGAGAAGTCTCGAGAGCCCACATTGGTGGTAGCGGAATGTAGACCCCATCCCAAAGGACAGTTACCCCGATTTCCATGGCTGAATGCAATGGGGAAACAAAGTGACCCCGTTCTTTACTAAAGGACTCTGCTTTAAGGTTAATGGTCTTATAGATAGCGGTGGACATTAAGAAGGCCAGCACATTGCCCCCTCCTTCAATACGGTTCCCAAACAGAACAAAATTTCAAATTCGTGAAATAGTCAAGAGGGATAGGTGACGTTTGGAGGTAAATATCTTCTAACTTGCACACAAATTCGTTTATTTTTAGGCGTTTTTCTTACACCACCGACTACATTGTAACAACCGACGCAGGCGATTGATGACGGGAAGTGCCGGGGGACGAAGCTTAAGAGAATTGAAGAGAGCTACGAAATACTTTGGTTGTTCCTTTACAGCTTTGCTTTCGTTATGTAGGCGTCCAGGGCTCCACCATTACACCTCCACTAAGCGGCATGACCTCCGGACTACGTCAGCAGCCACCCACCCCGTCCCCGTTAGCCCTTCTCTACTGCAGTAGTGAACCCTCTACCCAACTATTATGCCTTCTTTCGTTTTCCGAAGTGTCTGGAAGCACCACACTGAGATTAAAATTTCCTCAGTGTCATCACAATTCCAAATATTTCATCACTCCACAGTGATTCTAGTAAAGGGCATATTTCTAGTTATACAGTAGTTATTCTCCCATAAGTTGGAGAAATGTCCTAACAATGACAACCATTTTTTTCCTAAATTACCAAATTGACAATAAACACAGTTCGGGGATAATTCCTGTCGTTCAAGTTGGGGTCCATTTTCAGGGTCGAACTGCCCACCGATTTTAGCTTTAAAATCCCCTCCAAAATTGACCGTCCAAAACTGACATGGCTAGGGTGGGCAAATTCTACACGATGAGAATTTTGTGGGCCTAATCTTGCTTTCTATCGTAGAGAAGGGGGGTGGAGGGAATTCTGTCGCCTGTTAATGTAACGCAACTTCCGGCTCAAATGTCATACCCACGCAAAAAGTCAAATCCGGTGTATCTTCCCCAAAACATATCACTAGTAAACCAATTTTTGGAGTAAATTTAGGAGCTCAGTAATAGTCTAGTGGCAGAGATTGAAATAAAAACTTAGCAGATCATGATCACCATTACCTACTGTATAACTCGATGTTGGAAGTTGTCAGTAGTGAAGCTGTGTAGTATTTTAAGCACTAAGAAGTCTAGAGGCTGTTTATTACCTGCTCTTACACTTTTTTGCTGCCCGAAGAAAAAACAGCCATTAGCCGCGAAGCTTTTGGTGCTTGAGCCCTCACTAGAAACGATGTGGAACGAATGAGTTTGAATGGAACTTTATCCTAAGCATACCGAAGAGCTGAGGAACCGGTAATAGAAGAAGGGGTGACCGAAATGCCATTCCACCAAGAGGGTGACTGTAGCGTAAAAAGAAAACGACAGCTAAATGGGGACTTTCAAAGTTTCCACGTCCAATTCGATCATATGAGTTTGTGCTGTTGAACCGCGGCCATGGCATGGACATGTTGGTCGATCAACCCTCCTTCTTTCCACCTTCCACCCCCACTGATGATGCAATTGTGCTTACACAATCCTCATCAAAATTTTGTCAACTTCTTCCTTCCATTTTGAAGCAAATTGCACTAACAAAGTTGCCTCAAAATGCCACTTAACTGCGCCTGAGAAAAATTTTATGGCCTCCTAAAAAAGGAGCCATTATGTTCCAGAGGCATCGGGCACAGACCACTTCGAAAGTACCCAGGGAAAATAATCCCAATGTTTTTTAACCAAAAATATGCCTGTCCCAAAAGTGGTAACCATGGGAAAGAACCTTGTGATGCTAAACTTCCACAATACCCGAATAAATAAGTATCCATGTGCGAAAGTGGTGAAATTGTACCAACCCGAGGTAGTATCAGCGGCAGGGTATCATCCTATACACATATGGTTAAAATTCAACCACTTTTGGTGGTTGGAGATAATAAACTTTGGAATTTTGGGTTGATCAAAAGGGTTTACTGGGTTCTCTCCCAGTTTCGTTCCCCCAAATAAAGTTACGATTGTAGCGACTTAAATTATCACCACCAAGGAATGCCTTCATTTTCTAACATCCCAGCCCGAGTTTTAGGGGAGGTTAGATCACCACGAATCGCAATTTTTCTCAGATTGGAACTGTCTTACATCTATTTTGTTATTATACTGTGCGATTGGGTGTAACCAGGTGCCAAAAATTACCAAAGGACTTTTGTCACATATATGCGACGCTGGTAGCGAACGTGCTAAGTAAATATGTAAACATACTGTTTTTAAATAAAAACTTCACCAAGATTGCCATTCCTTACTGGTTGCATGAATGAATAAATGAGTAAGTGAGCATTTTTACCATCAAGGATTTAACAATACGACTAATCTCCATGCAGGCGTTATGAAAGCCCTGTCGCCTATGTTGATGGTGGAACCCATTTCACCACTTAGAGCTTGCGTGACAAAGAAAGTTGAGAGGATCGAGCAAAATGGATTAAGCTGTGCACTACTGCATGGCAAATTCCATTTTGGAGGTGCTTCTCTAAAATGGACGCACGAGAATCAGGCCCGGGTGGTAGCTACACCCACAGGTGGCTCCTGGTACCAAGTGGAACGCCCTGTGGATGATGAGACTGCGACAGAGCTTAGTCATTCACCACAATTACTTGTGTGTTTGAAACAGGCCTGGGTTAAACACTTAACACAGAATTTATACAATCCTTCACTGCAAAGCTAATGATAAGATGGATACGCCTGTGTCCTTAAAATGTGCTTCAATGCCGTGGAGGAGCCTTTGAAGCAGCTGTCGATTCAAGTGATCCACCTTAGACTGATTCAGGGAAAGAGACGTCAGCCAAAATCGGCTGAAAATATCACCAAGGTGGGCATGTAGTTAGTCTTCTATGAGAAAACTCCGAGTTCCACCTGAACTTTCCAGATTATTTCCACTAGAACCTTTAAAAATAATTTTGCCGAGACGAGTACTCGTCTTCAACAGCGATTATTTACGTCTAAATCGTTGATATTTGAGCCTAGGAGATACTCATTGAAGCAGATCTAACGCCGACCTTTTACGACTTTTTGATCAGAATCCGCCAACTTTGTATTACGGTTTAGACGACTCTGCTGTGTTGATTTCAGGTTTGCTTTTTGAAGGATCTCACAAACTAACCTACTTTAAATTCTGGATGTGATCATCTTAAGTCTTTCCAGATCTTCAAATTCCCTTCACCTGACAAGACGATTTGTCATTTCTTGAAGAACTTTATCTACCACGGCGGTGGTTTATTGAGTGGACATGTGTGGATACGAAACTGTCGCACAATCTTGGAGCATATCCACATGGTTAAGGGCGTTGCAGACAGGCACAATACGACACCATCGCATTCTGACAAAAAGAAACAATTTAAATGCCATCCGACTTACCCGCAAAGACATTATTGGATGGATAGAGGGGTCAGAAGTCAGCTTTATAATCAATCAGCAGAGGTGATGAGGAGGATGGTAGCATTTGTGACATGCCCCCAACGTGAGGGGTGGGGGAGGGAATTGTGGGAGACTGACAAGGCCCACACATCAGTACAAACAGCAAAAATTTACCCACTTCCCACCAAATGAGCATTTGGGATGGCCAATCTCCTACTGCGTGAAAATACGACCTCCCTTCCTGGTGAAATATTCACCTTGTAAGTGGTCTTTCCCTCTCCCTCACCCCCCCCCCCCCGACTAAGGTCACGACGGCTGGGAATTGGAAGTTAGGCGTCCATCAAAGCATTTTATCCCAAAAGGCAATCGTTACTCATCTCTGCCATCTTGACTCGCAGCGACCACTTCCAATAAAGGCTTCCCCGTGAGAGCAGACCATATGAGCACCCCATGGGGGTGACCGTCGCTGGGATGTCACAAAATGTCGATTTAACGTCTTTTAAATTAAATGAAATAGATAAGAAAAAACCACCGCCTAGCTAGAAGTGTCCAGAGTTTTGGCCATTTAACAAAAAAATTTTGTGTCAAACTCTCAACATGTTTACGATTGTTGCCGAGGTTATTCCCTTGGCATATCACCACGTCGTAAAAAACGTAAAGTCTTGGAAAGTGGCCCCACCATCAAGTTCTTCTTCACACCTTCTCTCCTCTGCTCTTCTTCCCATTTTTGCTGCTTCAGCTGATGTTGCTTGTCACCGGTGAGCGGCTCCTCGGAATTTTTCAAGAGGTATGCCAGATCAACTAGGAAATCTAGACGCACGATCAATTTCCCTGTTGTGGGGTCGCGATAGTAGAAGATCCTACCATCGGTTGTATTGGTAGGAGGCAAATTGACCGGAGCAAATTCGTGGTGTAAACGTTGCGATTCGTTTGAAACATGGCTGACATGTCTTAGACGGAAAAAGACAGTAAGCCAGACAATGAGGAGGCCTATTTGAGCGAGACTGCAAATTGCCACGCAGGTAATCACGTGACGTTGATGCAGCGGATCGTCAGTCTTGGTTACTGTCAGTGGTGGGGCCGAAGATAATTTAGTGTTGGAACGAGCCGCCTCACTAAAATCCTCTAGCTCCTTCTCCATGTCAGTAGATTTTTAAGGCGAATGAACCAGCGTGAGGTAAACCGTCCGTAGATGTCAGCTGTCCTGTTGTGTGGCAGCTGAATCAATAAAAGTGTTTTGAACTCAAGGAATGTCAAGAATGACATGGTTGGCGCCTAGGCTACAGATATCAGCATACCTCATGAACTCTGATGCAATTTGCGAAGCATTTCTCAGTTCCATTTCACCAGATCCACGAAGTGTCTTCCTTCTATGAGCATCATGACTGCAAAGTTGGGACTGCTGTCGCTATTATGGAGTAGTTTCTTCAAAGATGCCAAAATTTAGCGCTTAATTTTTTCCTTAAGAAGGCCATAAGATGTATAAGTCTGGAAGTAAATTCATGCCTGGAAGACAAGCCGTGCATTGTGCTTTCATTGAGAGGCATGACCTCCGAGTCATGTTAGTAGCCTCTTAGACATTCTCTTCGTCAGCAATACAGAGAAATCTCGGGTGCCACGTTAGCAGCATCGGAAAGCGAGCCCGATTCTAAGGAACAACTACCTAAATTTCCGTGGCGCATGCTGAGGATGGGGGACAATCAGTGACGACTCCTAGCAGAAAAGGATTGAAAATGACGTCCGCCTTCGGCAACTACTCCAGTCCCGTGTGCTGCAGGAATGCTATTAACACTAGCCGTGAACCATCTGGAAAAGTTTATTGAGGCGCTGTCAACGGCAGCTGTATGAAGATGTCAATTTGGTGAAGACGCGATACCTCCTCCGCGATAATATGGCGATGAAACATTGAAGTGAATACAAAGTAGCAAGGAGGAGCAGACGCTGGAACTTATCTCCACAAAACTATTTTAAACTCTGTCCTTTACTAAATGACCCTGTTTTTGCAACTAGCGATGGACATAGAAGATGGTCTGCACAATACAGTTCTCAAACGGGACAAAATCTAGATCCACTGGAATTACCGAGAGGAAACAGTGACATCGCAGTCGGATGTCTTCTCGATTGCACCCAACTTCGATGACTGGTGTGGTTGGTTGGTGGGTGTACTTCTGCCAGCGCCGACTACGTTGTAATGGCCGCCGTGGGAGGTTGAGCAAGGGCAACGCCGGGTTGACGCTCAAGAGGAGGGAATCGCGATGCAAAACTTTGATTGTTTTGGTTACACGGGCGCTTAAGGCCACGTCTATTGTATTTTCGCCCAGCAGCATAACCTGGCGGTTATGCTGGTAGCCCCTCAGACCATCTGTACATCGACAGTACACATTCCACCCTCGTATTAAGCCCTCTTTCGTCTTCCAGGAAGTCCCAACGTGCTACAGCAGCCTACACAGGGATGTACTGCTTCAACTTGACTTAAAAAAACCGTCACTTTTTTCATTGTATGAAACCTGATGTTTTGACAATTTTTTCTCACCGTAAATTTATAGGTATGTAACTTGACACCTTCACCTTTTCGAAGAAAATGACATTCGTTCAGCGCTTGGTTGGATTATTCCTCGATTCTTTAGCAGTTCCTGCTGCACTTTCTTTTGGAGCAAATATCCAAGGTTTCCTTCAACTGCAAGGTCTTGAATAAAGTCGACTAATTTCTACTAAATGGCCCTGTATTGCCTCATTCCCAGTCAAAATAATCTTTATAAAAGCTAGTGCGACACCAAATTCCTTCCCCACAGAACGGTTAATTATCAGCAGCTTGTCTGAAAAAGAGTTGATATTCATAAATTCTGTCCGGATTAATGACACAATACTTCCAATAAGTTAAGAAGCCTCATCATTGTGATGGAAATTCAGTTAGTGTCAAATCAGTTGAATGTCCATGACAGCCGAGGCCGAAGGCTGATCACAGAGAGCGTGGTGGACGAGGCACCAAAAAAAGCCAACTACTAGTCTCCCAGTCCATCTGAACTTCTATAGCATGTTAGATCTTTGAAGACAACCCATGAGACTACCATTAAGCGAATCAGCCAATCACGTGGCGAGATCCATCTCAGCTGTGCTTCCACAACAAAGAGACCCACAAATCCCTTCGCCTGCTCCTCCTGCATTGATACTCATCCTGATAAGTGGAAAGAGACAGTCGCAATGATGGGGAATTTCTACTGCTTTGATGTCTACAACTCAGACCATTTCCACACACATTTGCCTGCTGGATGACTCACGACTGACAGGAGCACTCTCGTTCAAATGCATAAACTCCGTCAAAAGGTGAAGTTTTATAAAAGAAAAAAAAACAACGGAATAATTTTGAGCCAAATCCGAAATTATTTAATGACAAAAACTCAACACAGGTTACGGTGCAACGTCTTCCACTAATACATGGACGTGGAGGTCGGTCTTTGATAATGGCACAAAATTTTTCAACTTCGAAACATTAGTTTCCAAATCAAATTCACCAGACTTTACTGGTTATCGAAAACCATATTGATAAGGTAATTCAGTATGTTATAACAAGAAATAAATGACGGTAGAAAGTTTTCGGGTAGTTTATTCGTCGAAATAAGCAATGCAACGATCTATAGCACTTCACAGCGTCTTTTAAAGCAAACATCATGCCCCTGGCCACTTCTGCTTTGTCTCGAAACTGCATAGTCTAGAGGTAATCACGTGATACGAAGAAAGGGTGATAAATAGCACTTGGATGGATATGGGAACAATTAGGCATTATTCCATTCTCAGGGGGTGAGTTTTGCGAGAGAATAGGTCTTTCCTTCCACTGGTTGGGTGGTCCTACAACTGGCTGAAAGCAGGACGAGTTTCCTTGCGCACGTTAGAGTTGTATAGGTCGCAGTCACAGATGGCTTGGAGGTGTGGAGTGGGCAGTTAAAACGCTCGGGGGTGACCCCTAAGCCAGGCATGGGCTGAACTAAGCTGGCCGAGCATTTTATGAAATCCGACTTAAAAAGAGGAGGAAAATTGTACGGCGCGGGATAAAGGGTCCCGTACCGATACACCAATGCATATCTCTCGTTTATATTGTATATGAGTAAACAATCACACACATTGTACATGTCCCCACAGGCTACAATGAGACGGTGAGTTAGAAAAATCTACAAAATTTTTTGATCATCCATCTGCCCATTCGGTCGACCTTCTTTCAGTTTCGGCAATCGTCCAAGTTTTTGACCAATCAAAGGGCACTTGTTTTCTAAACAAATCTACTTCATAAAAACTCCAAAGTCGTTATCGATGCAAGTAACCACTTTAAGGGGGCCTGGATGATGCACTTCGCACAATCCCCATGGTTAACAAGAATTTCCATGCGAGAATTTATTGTTTACCATTTTCACAGTTTCCAGTTGTTGATGATTTCGCGACTGACCCAAAATGTAAAAATGATATAAAAATAAAACTTTCATTGCTTCGTGGTGCGTCGAGGCACCCCTGAGGGGGCAATAAGGCGCACGGGGATGGGAGATGGAAAGGGTTTTGGGGGCCGTAGGGGTGGGTGGATGCCAATGACACCAAAGTGCTGCTGGAATCCATCCATGTAAGTAGTAAATACGAATAAAACAACACCGCTTTTTTCCACGTCTTTTTTTTAATATTAGATATTAAGTGACACAGGAGGTTGCAAATAATAGTGCAGGGGGACCGAATACCAAGTAGCTGAGAAGCACTGACCTTGGAATTACCGTCTTTTGGAACCACTCGTACCGTTTTTGAACAGAAGTGCGATCGCAAAACCACGACAGTAGTACAAACCAAGTTCTTTGGAGGGAAAGGAAGAGAAATGGTCAAAGACAATTATGGAAGTTTGGGTTTTGGGATCCCACTATTCCCTAAATTCACGTACACCACACCGATACTTTAATACTGGCCCACTGATACACATGCGACGCGTGTACCGGATAGTACCTTAAACACACTGATCCGCTTGTTTAACTTTTTGTTTTGACTTCGTGGAAACTTAAAGTTCCGCCTTAGTACCTCTCCAGTCCTTCTGTACGTCGAGAGTACACATTCTGCCCTTGTATCGTATTCTTTCGTTTTCAGGGACGACCCGACGCGCTGCTGAAAGCAAATCCGATACTAAAGGGCAACTACCCGAGTTCATATGCCTTAGCAACAATCATTAACTTGATGGAGGATGTAAGGATCGGTGACGCCTCCCAATTGAGGGGTTGAAAATGACATCTACCTTCGGAAAGTACTCCAGTCCTGAACGATTTGGAAAATTGCTCGTAATGGAGCTGTCTACGGTACCTGATTGACGATGTCACCGAAGTGAACACGAGATACCGCCTCTACCTCACTACTAGCTGGCTAGAAGTGAGGTAGCTGCGGTTGAGCAGCACTGAAGTGAGAACAAAGTGTCAAGAGAGAATAGCCCCGCGAACCTGTCCTTTACTACCTGACTCTGCTTTGGATCTAGTAGAATTGCCAGGAGGGAACAGTGACGTTACTGCCGAGTGCCTTCTCAGATGCACTCGAATTCCGTAACTAGCGCGGTTGGTTCGTAGGTGTTTATCTTACACCACCTACCACGTTGTGATTGCCAAGGCGGGAGGCTGACCAAGAGGAGCGCCGGGCTGATGCTCAAAAGGCGAGAAGAGGTATGTAATACGTCCATTGTTTGTTTAACTCTTCGTTTTGGTTACGTGGACACTGAAGAGCATGGCTGTTGTACTTCCGCTCAGGAGCATAGCCTCCTCAGGACGTCGATACTACATAAAGTGTCCAAGTATTGTCTTCTTTCGTCTTCAGAGAAGTCTCGAAGAGCAACACTTACTACTTTAGTCTTTAAGCAACAAAACTTTTAATAGAACATCTTTCGTTGGATACGATGACTGATTCTCGTTCGCAACAGACCCGAGTAACGAGTCTGGTAACATCACCTTCAGACTATTCTTACAAAATGCCAGACTTACCGATTATTTCGTATTGGGGAGGGGGTTATCATCAATTCCTTGCGTAAGACAATCAGAACCCGTAGATTATTTTATTTTAATCTACTCCTGCCAACAAAAAAGTGACTTATATGCGTGCCCCTGCTTTCCCCTTGGCTACAGTCAAGTTTATGACGGCTAATCAGGAGATTCCACACTACTTAACCTTTCAATTGAAGCGGGCTAAAGACATAATTCAACAATAAAATATAAAGATAGGGTGTTAAGAACCTGCAAAAAAATATAATAGTCAGGAGTGCCAAGCCCTTGTTTAAATCTCAAGTGAACAATTATAACCTTAGACAATTTACTAATGGAGGCGGAGGGTAAATAAAAGTGGTTGCGTGACCGCACAAGTTAGACCTACACTTCAGCATTTCAAAGTGTCTCAAGGAGATGTAAAAACTCCACAATTTTTATCATTGCAGAGGATAGCTAATCTCTGGAGCCTTCCAGTCATCACTTTGATGAGAAGAATGGGAGGATATTTGATTGGATTGTATTTCCACTCTGCCACGATTCGACTCACCCGTTGGTGGTGTGGACTCTGCAGACTGGAGTCCGTCCAGACTTAAGCTCTCCACAAGAACGCAAACCTGGATTTCACCGGTTCTGTGGATGGTTAAATCTGCGAAGATCTAGAAGAGAAGGGCTATCGCCAACCCATAGACTTTGGGAATCTTTCCCAAATCTCGAGTATCAAACGAAGTGTAGCCGACCATAAAAGAACTGCTTACGGTGTTTACACTCGACTCCTGAAATACGTACGCCATGGAAAGATTATGAATCTCCACACAAAGTAAGCCTCTGAGAATGATCCATTTGAGCAACAACTAAATGGAGCTAAACCAACCGAAAGGCAAAAAAAATGAATATTACAATACAAAGTTACCCAAATTTAGCAGTGGTTGCGTACCCTGTAAGTTCACCCATGACATTCTGGTTACGAAGAGGATCGTGAGGATTTATGTGGTATGCATTTCTAAGGGCTGTTGTTCTGTAGCTAATACACATTGTGCATCAATCCCTGTGCGAAGGAAACCTTTTATGGGAGTGAAACAACTTAATGAAATCTGTCACGTAGAGCAATTTTTCGGTGTGATGGTCAATGCAACGACATGTCTACGGGAAGTGCAGAGGACGACTACATGAAAAAATGACATTAATTTTGCCTATACTTTTAACTACGCTAACCTTGGCAGTCATCCATGAGTCAGTCTATACACTGATGACATGCATCCCCACTCATAAAATCGGAGCTACTAAGTACTCATCCTCTCCACCCTCCTTTCTAAGCGTTGGTAATAAAGCTACTTCCAGATACTAACGCAGCTTGCAAGTGATAGTTAAATTCCACTCGCAGATTCTCGATTTAGAGGGGCAGACTTCAAAGATCCAGTATCACTGGAAGGATGCCAGGAAAAAAATCGCAATGAAGGGATCCTACTGTCGCATGTATTTTTCAGTAAAACCTACACAAAGGTCCATCTCAATACGTAGGCACCTCAGCAAATTGGAATCGATCATTTGAGGCCACATAGTCGGCCATGTCAAGAGCCAGAGCACAGGAATCCCGCACAACCGGTTCGGGGTCCTTACACCCCGCGAGTAGGGCTTGACGTGCTCTCACGCTTAGACTGTTCGCATCACAATCACCTTCCCCAGCCTCGGCGGATCCCGCCACCTCCCCCAACTGCCATAGCCGCCTCATGACGCACCATGGGGGCCTCCTGTTGGTCATTCAGTCGTTCAATCAACGCGTCTCCGGTTTGAGCAATGCTAAGCTGTCCGAGGATGAAAGCCACCTCGTGACGAAGCAATGCGGAGCCCGGAGCTGCCAGCGCCTCCGAGAGGGCTTCCACGACCTCGGAGAAATGTTTTGATGAAGTAGAGTCGTTAGTGGAGACTACAGCAGCGTTGCGCAGGGAGAAGAGAGCCTGGTAACGAGCAAAGAGGGAAGACGAGGGAGAGAGAAGGATGCGACGTAGCTCTGCCATACTGGGTGTGGCGTCAGGATCAAAGGCGGGCGAGGGATCGATGGTGTTAGGAAACTCTGCCTCGGCAAGCACTGCTGCAGGGTCGGGTGTCTTGTTGGGCCTCTGAAGCCAGGCAATGCGACCCAGACCGACTTCGCATGTCTCAGCGACCTGTAAGTTGGAAGATCCAAGTTTCAATGCGAGTTATATTGCTTGCACAACATACGGTAAATTAAGGGTTGCACTGTAGTTTTGTAGAAAAAAAGATAATACATTCCTTTTCATTGTGTTTGACTAAATAGACCTTCCCAGTCCTCGACGACTCGGTTTCCATGCTGTCAATCTTTTAGACCACCTTTGTGCCCGTTTTATATGTCCCATAATGCCTTCCAAAGTAATAAACCTTCGATAACAGTTGAAGACATTCTAATGCAGCAATACCACAAATTTCCTCCCCTAATCATTAATTTTGCGATTAACTGAAGGAAATTCGAGCGAGAACGTTTAAAAAACTTTTGAAAACTCAAAAATCAGTTGTCTCAAAAGTAATCGTCCCGATTTTTTAATATCTTCCTTCTCCGCTAGTTCCACAGAACCAAAATCCACTATTGGGTTTTCTTGCATTTGCCTTAATAGTTATTCCGCCGTTCCCCCGATTCAGTTCCAGGTTCCTTTCTTCATTCCTGTGGATGAGGCAGGCTGAACTTTCGGAACGTTCCACAACGGTCAAACAGGTAGGTCCATTTCAGGACTCTTCAATTCGTTTACAGATGATTCAAGAAGGGATAACCTCGCTCCCATATTCTGCTGTTCTGCTTAGTAACCTTTACAAATTTCACAGCCAATGGTAAAGCACCTTAAGTTAAATGGTAATGACGATTCAGAAAAGGTTAATTGCCGTTTCACGGCCGCCTCTCCCCCCCCCCCACCACTAAAAAAAAACAAAATCTTAAAAGTGTGGAATCGCTGAAATTCTTTTGTTATCACAAACCTGATTACAGTGGAAACGCTGTAGCCCCAACGACCATTTTTCTTCTTGAGCCAGAAAAAGATTCGCATTTAAAAAAGTACACATCTTATTCCCTTTAGCCAGCATTTTTGACAAAAAAAGGAGGTAAATAAACCCCAAATTAAGTTGCGTGAAAATATTACACCGAAGTTATGATAACAATGAGGAAATGTTAAAACCTAGGAAATAAATAAGCTTGACTGTCAAAAAAATGAAACATTGAGAAACAAAGTTTACTGAGAACAAGACATACAATACTTTCTTTAATCAGATGGAAATCTTAGTAACCACATTTAAATAATAATATGCTAACTGATAGGCTTAAGGCGGATTCGTCTACATCTTCGACGTTTGCTTACCCAAGTGATGCAGCTTAACCCATCCAGCCAACCCATTTATCCTCTCTGCCCTTTTATGATTAAGGCGGCTGTTCTAGATTACCGGAACCTACCACTCAGATCTCAGGCCAGGTGTCTCAAGACCAAAATCACCGTCCTGAACAGAACCTGTCAGACCGTTTGACATGGGTTTACTTGTCTTCCATGCTTTAAGGTATGCATGACAGAAAACCTCCTTAACAAGAGCACGAACACTTGAACTAAACACAAATTCTCAGGCACAGAGAATGTGTTCTGACAATCATGCCATATCAGCAAAGTCACATCACCCAGAGGGCACAAATGATCCCAAACTGAGACTTTGATTCTGAAACTCAAAAAGTCCATTCCCAATCTACCGTCGACAGCACACACCTCACTGAATTTATACATCCATAGAACTATGATAAACAAACCTAGGTGGTAGAAGCATTCAACACGCCTACCAAAAAAGAGGCTGTCACGAAATCCCACAAGCGCAAGCTTGACATGCTAACCTAATTTGCCCGTTGACGTTTGATTACTTGAGCAATGTGACTTAATGCACTCGGCCATTCAGGTTATTTCCCCCCGTACTGCTTTTCGCCTAAAAGGCTTTAACTACAGCTGCTTTGGCTCAGCATTACCTACTACCTCCGTTCTGATATAGGCACTTTAGGAATATAATCGCCTGCCCGAACGGAATTTCTCACGCTTTTGCCTGATTTCATTTAATGTTGAATTTATAGCTGGCCATACCGGAACCCCTATTCTGAAGCTTTAAGAGAGCCAGCGTCACTTGTTCACCTTGGTCGTCCTGCGCCCTCACCGCCCGATCGGCCCCAACCTAGCACCACTATCAACCGTGACCATTGAATGTCTAAACACCTGTCCAGACGATATTCGAGTAATCGCTGACCAAAATTTAGCCATGGATTTAATACATAAGCTAGTGTCCACCAAGCATGCCGGGGGGATTGCTATTAGACTGCTCACTCGTCACGGCCTGGTCTGCCGATGGCTATTACATCGTTGTCCATTTACCATTACTTTCTGCATTATCGTCGACTTGATTGTGAGTGGATCTGTGTCTAAGCTGGGATAGCGATAGACTAAAACAGAAATTTTTTTCTAAAATACCACTAGACTAAAAAAATGCTCGATAGCTGAAATTATACTGCGATATTGAGATAAATCGAACCGGTATTCCATCACTCGAAAGTTACAATCATTCTCAACCACTTGAGCACTTCAATTCTTAATTCAACCTGCCATGGTACTCACCGCAACGATGTCAATGTCACGAAACTCCGTCAGCACTCTCTTGATATGCTCCACATCCACTCCGGGTGCAGAGGCAAGAGCGGCTAGGCCCTCTGCAGCCTCATGACGCACAATGGGCTCGTGGCGAGAATCTCTCAGTGCGGCCTCAAGATCGGTGACAGCCGAGAGGTCGCCCCGCTGACCCAGACAGTAAGCAGCCTCGTGTTGCAGCAAGGCGTTAGAGGCCGGTTCAGGTGGAAAGACCTCAGTCACGTAGGCAGCTAATAGACTTGTGGCAAGGGGCTCCCGCGCGTGGCGTAGACCCCACATTGCATGAGCGCGCTCCACGAGGGGCGCCGAGGGGTCACGAATCCTGGCGCCCCAAGTGCGCAACTCTTCTTCGGAGACAGCACGTGGTTTCGCGACAGCAGACATATCTGTAAAAGGCAAACGTAAGTGACTTGATTAACTGACTAGCGGAGGTGGCGGGTGATTAATCAAAAATGAAATTGTGATTAGCAAGCGCAATTAGACCACTTGACTTTGAAAGAGGGTTTACCAAGAATAGAGGTGGGTTATTCGGTTACTCGGCTAACTAGTAGGCCAGCTCCTCTTGCCAAACTCGAGATACGGTACATCAGAAGTGTCGAATACACGTGTCTGTCCGTAATGATTGGGCCAACGAGAACGAAATGAGAAGAATCATCACCAGCTTAATGAATATGCTAATGAGTGCGGTTACTTAAATGAGACCGATGCAAAGTGAAAGGCTAAATTAAAAAGCGAATCGTGAATGCGATTGAAAGAAGATTTACCATCAAGTGATACTGATTAATAGGTTGTCCAGCCAAATAAAAGCACCATTCTCAGTTTGCTTAATGAATAACTCAAAGTTGAGGAAAGTGATGACAAAATTCTGCCACCCAAACGAGAATTAGCCTCACTGAATAGCTGAAAGTAATAAATCGCCAATTATTTCCTTGAAAAGGGTTAATTTAGGTTCAATGAAGCAATGCTCCTGCCGCAACTAACATGGATACAAAATCTAACTAGTTTTCGTTCAATCCAAAGATGAATATACTTCAAAAGTTATTTAAAACTATTTTATCAGATAGAGAAAGTCAAATTCGTAACGAAAAACAGGGGTGACTTATGCGATCGGTCTCGATTGGACAAATGGAAAAGCCTTACGGCTCAGCAATCAAAATTAATTTACTCATAATGAGTAATTCAATGTAGAATCCGCTATAAATTTCGACCAAACCGTGACAAGTTGCACAAAATATAAAAGGAACAATTAAATTTGTTCATCCTAGCGAGAGCTCTTAACACAAGATTTTGAAAAGTGGATGGAAAATACAATCCCATTTACATAGATAAAAATGAAATTTTGTGCCCAGTTGTTAAGTTTAAGGGAGGAATCATGGGAGTTGGACATTAGCGAAATTAATTTAAACCCAGATCTCCACAAAATACTGTAAAAACTGATTAAATGACATGAAAGGCAGGGAATATCGGATATCTACACAATTTTGAAATGGGCCAATGAAAAAGTGACCTCTAGAAGGCCGATAACCAATCATAAGTGCCCACTCCGAAGGTTACAAAAACACCTAATCGAAAGGTCCTAAAGATCCCTCATGCATTCAGAAATGTCAATACAACCAAAAAATCAGACTTAAATAAAAAGAACTGACCCGAAACTGTCCCATCATGTTTTGCTTTCAAGCCAAAACAAAAGTCTTTCTTTAACTTGGGGTTTCCAAAAATGGCCAGATTAGTGTGATTTGTAGCTCAACAAGTCACAGCAGAGGCAGTAAAGACACCGATGTAGTTTATTGCCTATCTTCATGGTTCAATTACCGGTTTTCCAATGCGCCTTGTTGGGTGTGGAGATAACTAGGAGGAGAGAGGTCTGAGGAAAGCGGTGGGGGAGGGGGAAGAATAGCTGTTTTAATTTTCAAGAGGTATCCCTACCAACGAAGCATTTGGAATAAGCGGAGTTGCAGTAGCCAAATGCGGAGCAGTGACAAGTGGCAAAGCGTCTTGTCTACTAAACTGGGGAAGGATTGAGGAGAAAGGCACACACACATGATCAAAATCACTTCTAAAAATCCACAGTACAAGCCGAAGTAGCCATCCCATAGGCACCTACTTGTGATGGCATACTGCTTAGATTCTGAGCCTCCACAATGGGACCAAAATTAACTCGATTTAAGAAAATTTTACCACAAAACATCCTGAAGAGTCCAGTTCAAAAAGCCCCAGTAACAGAGCAATGTATCACAAAACTGTCAACAAAATGAAATGTTAAAGTACCCGGTAGTGAAGTGGACTCTGCAACGGAGCTGTCAATGAAGAGGTGAAGGAATCGACAACACCAACTAACCTCGAAAGCATGATGGGTACTGAAGGTGCGAAAAAGAGGGGTTGCTGTGCATGATCGTAATGTCGGTGATCTTTAACCTGACTAAACTTCCGGTTATCAAGTTATCAGGCACAACGTGTCAGCAAGAGCTGTTAACTTGCCAAATTAGGAAAGCGCCAATAGCAAAGAAAAAGCACACACCGAGGCAAAAAGAAATAAGGCATAGTGGAGTAGATAATGGCCGCGTATATTTCATCTAAATACACAGTGAAAGGAGAAGGAATGGAAGAAGTGAGGTAGAGTGATAAAGAGAAATGTGTTTCGTTACCAAAAATATAACCTTGGTCCGTGGACATAAGCTGGTCCCTTCAAGGGAGAAGGCAGGGGAGGAGGAATAAAGAAGACGCGATGAAAGGTGTGGAAGAGGAACAGATGGAGCAGGCGCGTCTATACAAATTGCACTGATTGTCCATAAGGCAGGAGAAGGGGGAGGTGAGTGGGTGAACTATAGGTCATCTCCGTTGGATGCTTCAATCACCCTCACATTCACCTCCATCTCTTCCTCATCCCCACTTTCCTTCATCTCTGTCATTGTTGAAGCGTCCACACCGGGACGTAGAGGAGTTTGGAGGCATTGAAGATGGCTCAGTAGCGAGACGAATGTCGTGGTCATCTTCTCCTCCAGTTCTAGCAGATTCCTGCAACACAACCAATAATAGTAAAAGTCTCAAACAGTGGAATTAACTGCATCAATCGGCTAACAACTTCTGCTACCTATACTGCATTCATGTGGCGCCGCAATTTCCCCACCCAAACCCCCACTTCTCTGTTTAGTGATAACTCTGGCTGTAGAAACAGATTAGTGAAGCCTAAAAGCAGTATACATGTAAGGTGTTTGTATTCTGCGGGTAAATACACTTTTCTGGTTTAGAGTAATGTAAAATTTTATGGGCTGTGGCAGAAGATTTACTTCTGAAATACTGGCAGTGAACGTGTAAGTCAGCTTCACAAAAGTTCAGTAACATGGTACCGGGGAACGAGAGGGGAATTGCGACGGAGTTATTAGCAGAAGGCCTGGTGACAATCCACTGATACAGAAAAAAGGTCGAACGACGAAGGTTACTAGGTCCGTCAAAAAGCAGGAAATAAAAGCTGAGTAACCAACTTCATGACGTGAATAGTAGGTCAAGGGGAACCATTCATGATTGCTTAGTTAAGGAACATAATTAGTGGAAGAGTCGCATTTGACCTGGTGACTTTATTTTGCCCTTCGTAGCCAGTATGGATCTCTACTACTTGACTGCAAAAAACACCGCCCACATGATCCAAGGATGACAGATTCGAGATAAACCCGCTAATAAACGCAAATCTTGGATGTAACGACCAGATTCTTTGCATTGTAAACAACATAGAGCCCTGAGGCAACAGTCTTCCTCCATCCACCGCTTATTCAGGTGACCAGGTGCAACTTCGATTACACCGGAATTACACGAGAAAGTGGTGAACCTATTGCCTAAATTTTGGGTGGATATCGTGTGCCAAATATCTCACCGTTGGCTGACGTATATTCCACAAAAAATGCCCACTTTTGCAAAGGTAAGGCAAGGAGTGCTGGCCAGACGCTGGACACCCACACGCATGTAGTGTTACCCGAACGGTGGAGAATTCACGCGGAAGTGGACAATTGAGGATACCCCCCGTTTTTACTCATCGCAGAACGAAATATACTGCTTCAAGGCAGCCAGAAGTGCCAACTGATCGGCACGCAAAGCGACGGCAATGGAGACAACGAAGCGTAGACACGAGCAAAAATAAAGCGAGTAGTAAAATTTATAAACAAACAGATCCAAGCCGGTTAGTTCGCTGACGGCATTCTTGAATACCGCCAGACCGATAGACATACTTATGATGAAAACAAACTCGACAAAATGAGGAGGTACAACCATTAGCCATTATGGAGGGCTAGTTTGTTCTTCTTATTAGACACTTGCTACAAATACAAATTAGCTCCCAAGTTACTTCACTTTTGCAATTCACCGTCGGTGAAAGCGAAAGAGCATCTCAAAAACGCATGTTTACTTCGTACCCACATACACACACGCACTTCTTCCATTCCCCCCTTTAAATTTTCCTATGGTCAGATTTTAGGCAAAGCGGTTCTTTGGGAACACCAAAAAAGGGTACACGCACGATGGAATTAATTCTCAATTCAACACAAAGAAGGTAGCTTTTCCCTACACTTTCTGAAGAGGAGAATTAAAAGCTGCATGGCTTTGCTCAAGTGAAGTGAAAATCTCTTACGGACCAAAGAGTGCCGGAAATAGAGAAAATTTTCTGTTATTTAATGAATCATTCGTCGCGGTAACTTACCTTAGTCTTATTCACAGAAGTCGAACACCCAGCCACATCCGGGTGTCGAAATTGCAGTAATCAAGAGTAATCGTTGCATTAGTACCATGGTTATGAAACTCTAAAGAGATGTCATTTATTAATCTCTGCTTCAATCTGCAGATTCTTCGTCAAAATGGAAAGATAGCGAGTATTCAGCACAAAACAAGGCGATGCCATTACTTCCAACGGGCAAAAGTTCACTTGGTTTAGGTATTAAATACGGGCTAAATTGAAGCAACCAACCGTAAAGCTCATGAGTCCCGACAAATGATGCAAATGTTCACAATTTTTAAGTTGCTGTAACGATCCATCCTCCCTGGTTCAAACACAGCATCCTCGCAATATCCTGTTGATTGAGGTGGGTTTAAAATTAGTACTACTTCCAAGTAAAGACAAACGAAGAGTTGGGTTAGATGTAATGTGGTGAAGAACGCGCAGTATGTTGGTGTAATCTTGGAGCAAAAAGTTCCGTTTCTGATATGAGATATAAAGTTTGAAAAAAAAGGACAATTACATGAATTAAGACTACCCTGGAAATTCGCATATGAATTGACAACGCCAATTTGTGTCATTCTTTGACTAGACTGCTTTTATAATATCCTTAGTAATTCAACCTGCATATCTATAACCTTCAGCATGTTGGGTGTTTCTTTTAAGGGGGTCCATAGATGTGTTGAAAATGGATGCTGCTTCCAGTCATGAGGCCTATTGTGGGATATGCCATGGAACAGCACAGACAGCTAGAATAATGAGGATGCAAGGAATGAACGTATGGCATTGTACTTTGGCAAATCTAATTCTGAAACTGATCCACAAGCCTGCTGAAAATATGAGCTAAAAACATGTTAGCGGATATCCACGAGTGGGTGCATCAAAACAAGGATTGAATGATGATATAACCCTACCCTTCCTTACAATATGTGTCATCGTAGGATCACCACAATGAGAGGGCCCGCTTTGAGAGGTCATACAAATCACCAAAGTTTAACCAAAGGAGACCACACCCTCATCAGTGACTTTTCTCCAAGCTTGAAGAGGACGCAATACACCTAAGCACCCGAAAAATTTTAAAGTGCGGATGCGAAGTTCACAAAAGCACAGCAAATGCATGGAGAATTGTTGGGATGATTTTAAAAGAGGTCACAGGGGAGAGTGGGAGAAGGAAAGCAAAAAACCATTTATTAGAAGTCTCACTGCCCACGCGTTGCGAAGCTCACACACACACACACACACACACACACACATGGAAGCATTCAATTCAAATGCCGCAGTTAGCGAGAGTGGATGTATGAAATTTATTGTAACAATTAGAAAAAGAAGCACTTTTGGGTCCAGATTAATCCGATTGCTCTAGAGCCCTTCATTAGATGGGCATACCCTTTAAGGAGCGTTTGCCAGAATGGCAACGACGAAGCGAAGCACGGCCTGTACAATTGTACATCCCACAAAACTATCCCCCTCCTCCTCATTGGACCGATCGCAGATTCAAGTCAACGGAGACTGCTGAATCTGCTGACCAAAATGTCAATTGTGATCCGTACATGGCTCATAATAAAAGCCACCACTTTCTTCATTTATGACATTATTGCATAAAACAAAATTACTACAAATTCCTTGGAAATGTAAACAATAGACGAGCTACAATTCACCACTAGAAAGGGTCGGAAGTTACACTACTATCAACGAATTCGCTGGTACTCTTCAAAACAGGATTCTCAAGAGGACATTTCTAGCCCATATCGTAGATGGGACCATTGTAGCTCAATTTGCGGAGCTATAGCAGCAGGCAAGATTTTGAGTAGCACCGGTTCAAAGTAGAGTGGACAATAACAATGGCCTTGATATCCACTTTGTAGTGATGTTCCATTGCCTTTTCTCTCCCTTTTGGCTGTAGCTCGCCAAAATCAGCCAACACATTTCTAAGAACCAGTATTACTCACAAGGAACTTCACTCTAGCCCCAAACATGGCATCCGCTTTCACCCGGCTCCGTCAATCGTCTGACTTGTTTGTGCGCACACATTATCCTCACAAAGACCTCATTGTATAGCATATTCGTGGGTTCATAAAGTCACATTACCTACAATGGAAGAGTGAACGAAACACAGACAAAGTGCTTACTTGTGATTGAGGAGGAGTGCAATGTTGCCCGCGCACATCCAGGTGCCAAATTTCACGTGGCCGACCACCTGGCCCTCTGTATGGCACGGCGCACACCAGCGCCATTCCCCCTCCACTCACCAAACCCCGTGCCCCATGTGACACATTAGGCGTTGGTGACCACTGCCACGTGGTGATTGTGGCTGAAATGCCCCATTTTCAGTTTTGTGCATGTGCCAAGCAGTAAAGGGCGAGAGATTGGCGGTAGACGAAGCGAAGACGCGGAATATCGGAAAATCAGCTTTCAATCCTCTGCCACATAGGCAATAATGCAAACACAGAGCGGTTTATGCTGCACTCCAATTTTTGCAGAAAGTAGGTCTAATGATTAATTTTCGACACTCTCGAGTACCATTGAGCTTTTACTGAAACCTTCCACCAAGTGAACTTCCCTCAAAGTGATTTTATACTTTAATAGGTTCAATTTATCTATCAACAATTCACTTTCAGGGAAGCTAAAAAGGGAGAAATACTTTAAGAAATCCATGGTTTATGAATCAATCCGCGATGAGCAATGAAGGCCGCGTTCTAAAGGCGACAAGCTGATTGGCATTTAGAAGGTTGGGCCTCAAAAGAAGTGCAAACACATGTTAGGCGTAAGTGATATCTTTCATTCTTCGATGGTAAGAAAGAATGATACCGGTTGACAGTTTGAAGTGAACTTGTTTCCACCCTATTTATACAATAAGACAAAAAAGAACAATGTGGGAATGGTAGTCCTCCGTGTGGAGTACTTTCGAATGCAAAAAGGCACCCACTTATAGAGGTGTAAATTCAGGAATACCTCAAAATAGGAAAAGGGGGCCAAAAAGACCCACGGTCCCTAGACAGTGGTGATGATTGTCTACAGAACAACCACAAGAGGGAAAAGACTAAGCCCATGGATAAAGCAGTGCCAACAAAAAAACTAAATATTCATGCTCATCCACTCTAACCGGTAGAGTGAAATTTTTTTTTGTTCCAAACGATGACAAAAAAGTTGACAACAGTTGACAGTTGGAAGGAGGTTAATTTCAAACGTCAAACCTGATTGACACATTCTACTCATAGGGTAAAGGTAAAATATTATTTTTCATAAGAAATGGAAAAGATCAGACTAGAAAAGAAGTAGTCTTCAAAGAGAGCCAACCACGGGTCGAAATCGCATTAATCCCAAGAGGCCCATGACGGAATCATTTAGCCCTGCTGCGGTACTATAAATTTTGGTGATTTCACCTCTCCCCGGCCTATTTTTTTTAATTCGTAAACCATCACAATTAATAACCTGGTCTTCCACGTATATATTTTCCTAGGACCTTCCCATTATGCATTCGCCGATGGCAGCCCTTTTATGCACAACTGTCGTATCCGGTAGTACTGTAAGGGCAACTTTTCCATGTTCCGGAGCTCTCACAGCAGGACCAAGCAATGCAGAATTGGATCACTTTGAAATTGTACTCATTGGAATGAGGACCTCCCAAGTTAGTTAAGGGATAAGCCGACTGAGCAAATTATAACATGGGAAGGAAGTAGTGAGGTTGAATTAGCTTGCTAATGATGGAGAAAAGCCATTAAATATGGGTGATGTGATTCTCGTATTTTGTGGAAGTTAAAAAATCGAAGAGCAGTAAACTCAAACTTCATGTTTCAAAATTCAAATAGTGAATTGAGTAGCAAATTGTTAAAATCAAAATGGTTTCTTTGTCAAATAGAAGGTGTGTAATAGACCAAGCTAAAGGTGCTTCATTCTACTCTGTTACAGTTAAGTTTACTTGAGAATTATTTGAAAAAGAAAAGGGTCAACTGGTTAGGCAGATGAAATCGCTCAATCGCTGACCTCTGTGCAGAATCAAAAAGGACACAAAATGAACTCACGGGATCAAATAAATTCCGTCGGTCTAAAAATGAGCCAACAAAAGACGCGTTTAAAAGTAACATTCGCAATGTAGAATTCACATGTTTTGAAAAAAAATGCCCAGGTTTTAAAAGGCTACTCGACAAAGGAAGGCAGCTTGTCCCTTTAAGAAAAAAAGGCATTTAAGAGATTGGCAAAAAAATTCTCTTGAATTAAAATAGGTTACTTGAAGGGTAATCGAGAAGTAAACGAGTCCAGGAAGGTAATATATGTAGCCATAAGGCGAGTGGACTTCCCTAGTTTAAAAGTTCCAAAGCAAACACAAAGTGGTCTCATGGTGTCTAGTCCTACTGGCCCAAAAGGAATTGATGATGGCAAACACTCAAAAAACCATCTTTACAAGCTTGTAATACTACCAACTATCACTCACATCTCCATCTTGTTGAACCGCTGAGCCATTTGAGCGGATAGTCGCTCCTCCAAGTCCATATGGGAAGGTGGAGGCGAGGCCGTAGTGGTGGTGGTGGTAGCAGTGGGCGAGGCGAAAGAGTCAATACCACCGCCACCATCTCCATCAGTATTAGGAGCAGAAGCGGAATCAGCAACCATCGCGGTGGCGGAGTGCTCAAGAAGGCGCTGAAGACGCTCCAACTCCCAGGAGCAGAGCTTCCGACGCCGATGATCGCCCAGCCACGTGTCGGGCAGACGCGCACGCGATTGCATTTGTGCTCGCGGAGGTACTTGCAACAGTGGCGTCTCTGTGAAAACGCAGGACGAGGAGGTCGTCTTGTGCAAGCAGACCGGAGAAGTGCCACCATGTGGCGAGTGTAGCTGCTGCTGGTCTTGTTGTTGCTTCTGGTCCCGTGAGAGGCAGAAGAGGTCCTATGAATGCAGAACAGTACATGTGACTAAACTAATTTAAGCGGCAATTTTTGGGAGCAAGACAGTGGTAAACTAGAGCATTGGCGAACTCAAAAACTTGGTCCCATGGTCATAGAGTGGTATACTACTGAGTGAATTTAATTGTGACACTGGGTGAATAAAAGCAACACATTGAACAACTCGCTTGTTGATGAAACTAAAACTGAGCTCCCTTGTTACGTTGGAATATATCACTAAGCGAATTTAAGCGGTCCGCTCTAAAATTGAGTCTGGAATACAATAGCAAGATTTCAAAATCTCAGTTCTATGAATACGAAGTGGTAAATTGCTAAATAAACTTAAGAGACAAATACATAAGTTCGTTATCGTTAGAATCATCAATTACAAATGTTGTTGGGTAGATTAAAGGAAAGGATTTGTGAATTGGAATGAAAGATGGATAAAGAAACGGCTTATCATTAGGCAGTGCCATATCACACCACTGTGGTAATGTAGGTGACAAAATTGGAGGGTTGTGTAAATGGAAGTTTGGGAAAACAGGGGATGCTCTTGCGTACTGAGACTGCCAATTCACAAGGGATAAATCGCATCAACACACACAGCCTACACCAACGTTGAACTGGGATAAGATGAAAATTTATGCATGTACGAAAACGCAATCAAAATAGTCAACAGATTGGCAAGAAAGTAGTGGATAAATTAAAAACCCACATTTTTGTTTTTGCTCCTAGAGATGAGGAAAATTTCGATCAAGTCATTCCAAGAAAGAGGAAACTTTCCAACAAATAACCGTCCTTCAAAGCAGGGAGTTCAGACTAAAATCATGAAAGATGTTGAAAAAAGTTGTAAGTTTATCACATGAGTGTATTCAAAGAGGCATCCTGACGAGATTATTTAGTTATTTTATAACTTAACGCATTCACACAGATTTTAGAAAATAAAATGAGAGACCCTGGCGCATGAGTACTGAGAATCAGGTGCAGTTCACTGAACTTATTTCTGAATACTCCAAAAGAAATCGAGGATAAAACTCCCACCGAATGCATTCAAAAGTCAGAAGACAAAAGATATGCTCCACCCCAAATGCCCCACAGGTTACCGTAGTCCGACTCCTCTTTGTGTTATTTCTCCAGAGCGTTCTATCTCCACCTTCAGAAGGTAAATTTACCAAATCAGTCGGGAAAATGGAGTCGAAGGGAGATGACAATAAAACAAAGGGAAAGGGTAACATTACGTCCTGCATCACGCAACCTGGTGCAAATTCAAAACAAAGTACCACTGCGTGAGACGCCAACAAATGTGCCGATGGCAGGAGCTGCAGACACAACAACAGAAGTGGCGATGGCGGTGGTAATGGTAAAAACAAAGCGACTTTTTAGATGAATGAATATACCACCGAATTCTCCACGATGATGCCCATGGTAAAAAGGTCTCCTGTAAAGTAGAAAGCTACAATATACACTCCTACCTATGCATACATTTTTACTTCGGTAAACATTGTCTCGATTGTGATTGATTAACACCTGTAGCGTAAACAAGTTCGGTTTCAGAGTTTAACGGTACTAGAATACACAAGTTAGTTAATTTCACAGATATATATATTCTGATAGAAGGACAGTCAGAAAATATTGTCTTTGGGGAAGTAAAAACGTTCAAAAAGATTGCTACCAGCGCTCTAATTCCCCTAGTCGGACATCACAGATGTGTGACACTCATTCTTTATTATTCTATGATAACTGCTTCCACAAAAGCACGATCTAAGCAAAATGACTTAATAACGATAAAATGGACGTAGAATGATCTTCATGTGAGGATAATTACGTTTTGGTTGCTGAGCGGCGGTTAAACTAGTCAATTAAGTGGCGAGAGTATAGATGTCATAGTAGAAGAATAAAGCTTCTGAAGTGTTGCAATCCACTTTCCTACGAGACAAATTCTGATAGAGAAAGTGTTAGGTAAGTAAACTTAAAGTGTGTTAAGAAAAACAATGAAATTCGGGCCTGAAAATACAAAAATTGGTAGTTATTAATAGGTTTGAATTAAAAGAAGTACTGGGAAGGGTCGGTGACCTAATAAGAAATTTACTTAGCTGGTGGTCAGACATATTTCCACTCGAGGACAAAGTTTTGGCGATTTTTCAGGAAAGGCATTACAAAGGATTGGAATGAACAGGTAAACACAACAAACCAAGCCTGGACCCAAAGGCAGTGAATGCATCATGGTTCGTGATTGAGATGGACGTAAAAAGGCTTTGACGACTAACTACGGTAATTCTGGGACTGCATTCACCTCAGATATGGTTCTGAAAATCAAAAAAATGTTGTAATATTGGGTGAGAATACTACTTTGTGTTAAAAGAAAAGAACATTCAACGCAAAAAGGTGCTTCTAGAAGTCCAGAATTTGTCTAGTAAGTTCAAGATGTCACCAAAGAAAGCTGCGACAAGTCGAACTGTTTCAGGGGTCAAAATCAGGTACATCAGAGACTACCGTCAATTTCCAAGTCGAGGAATTTGTACGACACTACCCAAATAGTCAGTATTGTCTGAGAGTAGATGACTACGATACTTTTGGATACTCTAAATTGATTTAGAGCTCTGTCTAGAGGATTGCAAACAAGCACGCCTGTAATGTGCAACTACGTAAACCTTCCAGCCTCACGAGATCCAGTTTTCCAACAGGCGATATGACGCACCACTAATAGTCTCCCAACCCTTTTGAGCGCCGAAAAAGCTACTACTTTCCGAATGATAGGATTTATAACGTCTTCAGAGGTAACTCAGACCCTGCATCTACAGCACCAATAACTCGAGGATGTTATGACAGTACTAAGACAGGAATCAAAACAGCGTAAAACATCATTAACGGATATCCTCTCCTCTCATTTTCAGTTTTCGAGTTTTCTTAAATTAAACGTTACTTATCACACGCCTGGCGCACCTATAAATCAGCCGTATGCCTTATCCAACGCCTTAACGATGAGGTTGTGTTAATATGTGCATGTGTGCGGTGTGCCATTTTGTTGCAAAGGCCAAGGCTTCAAAGAGGTGTGCTAGGTGTCACACAGAGGAGGAGGAAGAGGAGGAGCGGGATATGGAGTGGGAAATCACAGCTAAACAAAGTCATTTAGTGTAGACGTGAGAGTGTTTAAATGATACTCTCGGAATACAGTAGTCTGAAGACATGGGTTAAAAAATATGCATAATAATCTACCTGCAGAAGTAATATTTGATGGCAATACTGGGCTAACACACAGAGATCCATCAACCCAATCGGAGAGAACTATAACAACAAGGTTTGATTCGATATCAGTAAAATACTCGAAGTAAATTCAAAGGTTGACTAATTGGCTTGAATCAATGAGTCACGCTCATATACCATCCGGCCTTCAAAGAAACTTTCAGACAATTTAAGCGAAGCTAGATTATTACTTCAAATGAGAAGCTTCCCTTTCACTTACTGAGTTAAGAAACAGTCCCGCTTTCCGATACACGCACACCTTCCCCCCCCCCCCCCAAAGGACCACAGTGTTCAAAAATCGTGACCGTAGTGAGATTCAAAGCGAGAAAGAGAGAGGACAGTGTGCCCGAATAAATAAACAGTAATTAAAATTGGGTGAGGGTAAAATTGTCTGGAAATGTTTGCGTGTAATAAGCATAAATTTGGTGAGGCACTGCTCTACCTCGCCGATTGAACATTGGCTGAAGCTGAATAGAACCAGTGAAGTAACTAGTGGGTCACTCTGTGGCGATCCCTCTCTATTATGATCTTGTGAATAATTCCGCTTCAGAAGACAGAGAAATTGATAAAATCGTTTTATCAAACCTTAGGACTAGACAGTTCTGCCATGAATACATCCATCGAGTCTGCTTCACTTTATGGCAACAGTCATAAGGAGAGTTCGATTCTGCAGTTACATTTTTTTATCAATGCAGTTATGAACTTCACTATTTTCAAATTGTTTCTGCCTCGACCAACGCTATTTTTAATGCTTTCACAGGTGGTGCTTTGCTCACCAACCTATTGACACCCCTGACCGTTTTTAACCAGCACAATTTCTGCACCGCGAGAAAACTACGGGCACCTTCGTGGGTGTGGGAGCATAAATCCCACTCTCTCCAGACCACCACATACATAGGTGGGGATAGAAGAAACCCCTCACCTTTTCAGCTAATGGTAAACTCCCATCACGCCATATTAGAAACCGGACATCTTGTGATAGCGCTGTATCCCATTATGCAATCACTCCGTTTCTTACCTGAATTATTTACTTAACCGAAGAACTGGCTTAATTGCTAACAATTAAAGTTCCCTTTTGCAATTGTCTTCCACTTGTCCCATCTAAACGTCACGCAAACACAAACCGTAAGTACAGATGCATTTTGGGTCAAAAGTGACAGGTCTATCAAACAATAAGTTGAAAGTGCTGCAACATGTACTCTGCTTGTACTTATATTTAGCGAAGAAAAAAAGAACAATTGGAAGGGATATCACCCAGGTAGTGAAGTTGGCCCCTCTAATACGAGCCATTTCAGGCAGTAGTTGACTTGGCCTGAAAAAGGAATAAACTTTTCTGCATTTCTCATTTAACCCGATCCAATGTGTTCACCGTCCGAATCTCAGATGAAAAAAGTCATGATGCTTTCAGCTTCCCAGTTTGACATCGACCCACTTTTCACCCTTCGTATCTGCTCAAAAACGAAAAAGTATAATCGTCACGATAGCATAACCGACCCACATCCACTTTACTGGTGTAGACCTAACCGATCCGTTTGTGACGAGGAAGTGAAGACCAGATAAAAAAAAATTAGGGCGTCACACATGCGACGCTGGTAGTGATAGATTTGCGTGAGTAATGAGGAGGAATTTAAAAAGGAAGGAAATTTTACAGAAAGTTGATAAGAAAACTGATCAAAAGAAGGGTGGAAGTGGGCTCGCTATGGTGTGCAAAGACGAGACACCTACGGCATGAATGTGAAAAAAAGTAGCCAGTGAAGGAGGAATGAGCCGGTGGCTCGGTGAAGAGGAAAAAGGGAAAAGCAAATGCAGGATTTTTCCCGAAGAAGTGACTCATTCGGGCGCCCAAATGAAACGCCTCCAAGTCGCTTAGACTAGAAACTCTAGATCCACGAAATCCTTTGCCTTTCCCCAAGTAACTCACTGCGAACTAAGACGATTTTGAGCGTCTTTATAACAAGAAGTAAATTAAAATATTTTATTGCAAGACAATCCGTTATTTTAGGATTTCCTCCTGGAACATATGGAGAAAACTGGGGATCATCTGCTCATACCGTAAATTTTTACGAGCAATAGAAGGCTTGCTCAAACATTCAGACCTATGGCTTCCAACCTTATTTTCTCCACCCCATTTGAAGGCAAGCTGAACTCTTGCCTATTTGGACAAGTGAGGAAGTAACTAAAGCTCGATTAGCCCTCCTGCCTATCTTCTTTTACCAAGCATAAGATCCTGGGCATGTATAATCATGCATTTTCCGAGGGCTTTTCGAAGTACGATCCAACCTCCAAGTTAAAGAAACGAAAAAAATTACCAGATTTCTTTCTAGGTTTATTTTGCGATTGTTTCTGTTAACTCAAAACACTTTCACACTTATGCGCCGCATTAAAATCAACACGGACAACTTCTCCCTTTTGTGTGGTCTCACTTAGCTTGTGCATAATTTTTTTGAAAGCCCCAATCCATGGCGGTTTGGCAAAAGAAGAAATAGCGACTTTAACAGTGCCGTGCCGACAAACCTCAACATAGGAAGTTTTGTGTGAGAGTAAATTTGCCTCTTTTCTGGAGGGCTGACGCCTGTTCACAAATTACAAAAGACTAACACGCGGTGATTAGGGTAAAACCTTAAAATCTTACACTTCCATGCTAATACACCTCCAACATGGTCAATGGATTTCAATGAATTAAAACACGACCGCGCCTCCTTACCCGACTAACCGGAAGATTTTGCGCCTCCCAAAATATTCCTCGAACTTTTAGTGCAGTTTCGAGAGAGAGATACTTCCTGTCTAGAGATCTGCACTAGTATCAAGAAACCAGTCATCGAAAAGTTGTCACTGCAATAAGTTTCTTCTTCCACAACCTGCCCACAAGAACGTATCAATCTGCTTTTACAAATGAAGCAAACGTGCTTCAACGAGTTAAAAACTCGAATCCAGAAAACCAAAAGTCTAAGCTTGTCAATTACAGAAGTCAAAACAGAGCGAAAAACTACTTTGGGGCATTTCAGCCACAATCACCACGTGGCAGTGGTCACCGACGCCTAATGTGTCACATGGGGCACGGGGTTTGGTGAGTGGAGGGGGAATGGCGCTGGTGTGCGCCGTGCCATACAGAGGGCCAGGTGGTCGGCCACGTGAAATTTGGCACCTGGATGTGCGCGGGCAACATTGCACTCCTCCTCAATCACAGGTAAACACTTTGTCTGTGTTTCGTTCACTCTTCCATTGTAGGTAATGTGACTTTATGAACCCACGAATATGCTATACAATGAGGTCTTTGTGAGGATAATGTGTGCGCACAAACAAGTCAGACGATTGACGGAGTCGGGTGAAAGCGGATGCCATGTTTGGGGCTAGAGTGAAGTTCCTTGTGAGTAATACTGGTTCTTAGAAATGTGTTGGCTGATTTTGGCGAGCTACAGCCAAAAGGGAGAGAAAAGGCAATGGAACATCACTACAAAGTGGATATCAAGGCCATTGTTATTATAACTCTACCTAGAACCAATGGTCTAATAGCACCACTAGTCTCACATAAGACATGAAATAAAGGAGTTCTGCTGGACACAACTGAAAAACGCCAGCGAATTAGTTTGTGATTGCTGCTGGCACAGTTCGTAAGGCTCTTGATAACCTAACTATTAACAGTAGTATTGAAATTGCAGGTCAAGCAGATGTTACTAATAAAGTAAATGAATTAGGTGCCAAACACAGTCTCAAAGACCACTGAATTGTAAAGGATGAGTTAGATGAGTGCTAACGATGAAAAGACGACTCCTTTGTAATATAACACTTAAACAAGTAGACAAAAGAAAGTTCGGTGGTTTCTCTAGAGACTGCTTCAGTAGCAAAAACCGGGAAGAAAGGGTCAAAAAACCATCAAGGTCTCTACCGCACTTAATTAGCTTTTACCAGAAAAGGTAAAACTTTTGTTGCACAGGAACGGATGTACAAAGGTGACATGGGGAGTCGCTGTAATGCTGCCGTCAGTACTGTCGTAATGCAACCACAAATCAGCTATTCAGGTGATGGCCGAGAAAGCGAGAATAACATTAAAAAATGCTAACATACGTTCACCCTGGACCACCAAAAAATTCGGAGATTACATCTGACACCTTCAGCTACTTGAAGGGGGAAAACAGGTACAAGCATCTAGATGTTTGAAATTCAAAACAAAGTGGACACATTGTATGCAGCAGTGTGGGTCGAGACAGCGGTAGGTGAACAGTGGCAAAGCTGTCTGCACCAGAATGGTTTAATCAGACAGCATTTAAGCAAATCGGATAGAAACGCTGATTCAGACTATGTCAGTCAAGTTGTATTCTGGGGAGACAAATTAAGGTGGCAAAAGGGTGGCCTAAACGTTAGCTTGCGCCATCATGGCCTTTATGGTGCATAACTGGGTAGACTGAATCGAAAGCAAAAATTTCATATTTGATTACTAATGAAAAGTGCCATTGAGTAATTCCAAACTTTTCCAGCGAATAGAAGTGGAACTCCATAAACGGAACTTCTCAGTTGTTCAACAGGGGTAAAACAGACGAGTACGGATAAATTTTGGCATATTTGGGAGCTGAAAACTTAGGTAGACCAATGACCTAACTTTAAGCTAGCCTCGTTTCAATGTCTCTTTGAGAAATGGACAAATTATTTGATCAGGTTCAGCCTTTGAGGACAGAACGCCATTGAATTGTTAATGGATTTTTTCAGGGAAAGCAGGGAGATAGTAGGAATTTTCAACAGGAAAATGGCGATATTTAGCAGTGAAATGTGATTTACTATAATCAATGCTGATATCAATTTGATTAGAAAGTGATTGACATGACAATGCTGCCTAGCAAACCACTCAAGAGTGATCTTGATGGTTTCGACCGAGGTTCTCCCAGCCCTGCATTAGTCGAGCACGTCACTTTATACCATTTTCTTTGAAATAATCAGGATTCAACAAATAGGAAGCTCTACTAGGACCTTCCGATTAAACACTAACGAAGTAAGATTACTTTGAATGAGAGGAAGCATAATTTGATACACGTAAGCCACTGAAGTCACATTTTTGATCCTTAAAAAATACGCTGCTGGACTAGTAAATTGTTGATGGAAAAGTACTGCAGTGTGTGATCAAGCGTGAGGTGTCCGATTTAATTCAGTATTGCGCCTAGCAGTCCACATTACCTACATTTAATTGCAGTTACTCTTGGTTTCTGTGCATAAGCATGAGCTTAAAAAAACGCTTCAACAAGCAATAAATCTGCCTGTTTAAGATATTCACAAAACCATGAGTAGGAAAATACACTCATTTCATTTACAAACTTAATAAAACAGGAGTGAAATTCGTAAAAAAACTGACAAAAAGGGGTAGTATATGATGAAAGTCCTGCTAACTTCCAAATCTGCTGCTAAGTGGTGGCAGCCTTGGATCCTGGAATGTGGACAAAATGGTGGATCAGGAATTGAAAGCGCTGTTGAGGAAATTGGATGTATCCAACTCGGCCTACATTTAACTTAAAGATATTACAAGGTATTGTAACAAATTGGTAGCTTTGACGTGCATGTTTCTTGATAAATTTGTACAGCTCTTCAACAAGGTTATCCACACTGTAGCAGGGTGATAGTTGTTTCAATTACACATTTAACCATGTACACTTTTCGGTCTTCCATGATTCCCGTCTCTACGACGGCATGACGCAGCTCGGCTACACATTTATAGCTTTTTAGCGATGACTCGTACTCCACAACAGCTAGAAGGAAAAGATACATTGCGTTTACTGGATTAAAGCCCGAACAAAGATAACGTCACGTCAGAAATTCGCTGTTATTTGCAAAAAAACTGTGCAAATGCCGGAGAAAAGGGACGTCTAGATGACTCAGCTATCAGTAATAGTAGTCAGAATTTTTAAGCAAAGCAGTAAATTTGGTAACTCATACCAGCCAATGAACAACAACAAGCTCAATTCCGCGATTCGCAATGAAACAATCCAAACCACCGCTAACTCCAAAACACTAATAGGTCGCATTGTCACAGAGACTACACAAAAACAAATCCAAAAAACAGTTATCAAAAAGAATGCGAAAGAAGATGACGTCCAAGCAAAACAGAAAACCACCATCCACATTAGCTGATAAGCTTGATTCAGGGGCCTACATTTAAAAAGTCTAAACACACTTTTCACCCAAGTATAGGTTGCTGAGACGCTATGTGCTCTAAAGAGATTTTATAAAAAATGAATAGCATCCGGTGTTTCAGTAGTGGAACGAACTAAGGTAGATGGTGTCAACAAAAAATGCACTCCCCCCATTCAAGTGTTAAAAAGGGGGGCAGATAGATCAACTATCAAGCAGCCGGAATCCTTAGGCAAAACACAGCTGTCTCCATTCCCGTCTTCTAACTTCTTGGGGGGGTTACTTAGGCGCGACAACAAAGAGGTTTAACCAACCGGATTCAAATCCTATGCTCCAGTAGTAGACCAAAACAAGGATGGATGATGTCCCGAAAACAATAAAAGACAACGCCCATGTCTTTTTAAAATTCAAACCTAAATTCTGAGTACAAGCTTGGTTAAGTAATTAATAAAAACCCCAAAAACCGCAGCCAAGTAGCGGGAAAGTACTGACTCACCGCCTCCGTAAGATACTTTCCGATCCCCGCCAGTGGCATAGTGAGCTCAAAATGCGCCACCAGATTGTCAATCAGCTCGGGATAGTTGTGCAACAGACCGGCCAACTCCTCTTGCTCCACATAGTGCAAGTCACAATAGGTCAGGGCGCGTACGATGAAGCGGGACTTGGCGGCGATGAGGCCGCGGGCCATCGTTGACAGTGAGTGCTGCGGTTGTTCTTGGAGAGGTGGAAGACCCCCAAAAAAATCGCCCTTTGAAAGGACCGCAAGGATGGCTCCGTCCTGCGGGTCAAGCACCTCCAGACTGCCCTGCTCCACGAAGTACAGGCAAGTGAGAAGGCCTCCTGCGTGGATGAGAGTATCCCCTGGGGGGAGGTGGACTGTGCGGATGCGGAGAGCAAAGGTACGCAGACAGCCTTCTGTGAGACCTGCAGGAGGAGTTAAATTAAGACAGTAGATATTCGTGTAGCTAATCTGCAAGCCAGTATTAAAGTACCTTCAGAAAATTATTCGAAGACGGCTCAGGCACTGTATTAGTAACAGTATCTGTGAAGCCAATGTAAAAGGTAGTAATCTCGATTTTGCTAACTGGATACCAAGTTTGGAGATCATAAAAGGAAGGCATCTATGATAAATGGATGCATCTGTGGACTTTTGCCAACTGCTCCAAATTCGCAGTGTGCATGATGGCCCAATAACGATTCGAAATTATCCTTACAGAACTGCTTACAGAATTGGCTTGATGCCAGATAGGCTGTTGGTTAGCTTTGAGGTAGTCAGGTGAAAATGGGTAATACTGCATGTAGCTTTAAAGTAGCACTTTAAATCATGCATTTTATTACTAGTTAATAAAACTCCCTCCTACCAAAAACGTGGTCGCCATCCGAAATGCACTCCTCGTATGACAATGATTAGCCTTAGGAAGACATGACAAATGACTAGAGTCAGAACCCCAAATTTCAAGCAGTAACTGCAAGCCGATATATGGTATTCGCTCCTTTCAATCTATCCGGCCACCGTTGTAATGGCAAAATTCGACGACTAATCACAGGGAGACCGAGCTAGATACACGAAATAGCATACATAATTTGATTGCCTGTACTGTTACATGGGGCTTTTCTATATCCTATGCTAATGATAACATTGTAGTGAAAGTTCGTTCTAGATATTCTACTCATAAAGTACCAGAACAGATCAATTAAGGAGAATCCTCCTCTGCTAATCATGTTCATGAAACCCAACACACGCAAGGTAGTGCACTGGAAGCTGTTCAGAGCGGCACAGCTGAGGGAAACTAATCTTATAAAGTTTTTTCCCTTTTTCCGAGGAAATATTCAATCAAAGAGCAACGACCTTCTACTACAAGGCTTTTTTTGAAGTCCATTTTATAAAATGTTATGAAGTTATGCACCTTACGCCTAAACTCCCAAATACACCAGAGAAGGACCATCGAGAGGAAGGTCTGATGTAATGCCCTAAAACGCTAGGGAAATCGGTAAGAAATTCGTACCGGTTTCGAAGATAAGCTGCATCGTGAATGTTTTACAAGCATCCTTGTTGTAGCCCTTGCACCGGTATCAAGGCGTCCTACTCAAATCAGCCATCCTACTGCTCTCTCAGTACCGTACTTTCATCACAGTCATTCTTAAATTTCCATGCCCTATGTCTTCGAGAGAAACTATGGTGCTGCTAGAAACGCCATCAGGCACAGCGTGATCATAGTACGGCTGACAAATGCATAATACACGGATGAGTTTTTGAAAGGTTTCCTTCTTACATCAACAATCTAAAGCACAAATGCATTACACAAGGGATATAGGTGAAAGTATGTATAACCGAAAGAAAACATAAGTTCGCAGAAGGCTTTAAGGCATCTTACCAAATTGTACAGTCAAAAACCTAGATATGCGGAATGGGTTTGACGCGAACAAAGCCACATGAATGCAATATCCCCTTCAGTCTCTTCTATGGTGAATCAAACCGAACAGTGTGCCTTTTGCAAGGGTAATCATGGGCCTAGACGAAAACTCTAGCATCACCAACCTCTCAAACGGACTAAAAAGTACGATGCGTTACCCTGAAGCCAGTTTACAAAAAAATTTTACCAAAAACACACCCCTTGAAGCACAGGATATCACGAATCAAAGAATCAGTGACTCAACCTGCTGTTGCACAATTTTGAAGGTCGTATCAACTCTAGGCAACAAGCGGATAACAACACTGTTGCTAGACTTTCTAATCAAATTAAAAAACCGCCAAAGGTACAAGAAAGCAATTAGGCACTGGAATACATAATGGTGGTGGGACTCTAATCTGACGAATTCTCTCACACATTCAATGAAGGTTGCAAAGACGTAGCAAAAGAAAAGAAGCATTTATTTTGCTCCTCATTCACATAACAAAGTGATTATGGCAAGAACTAAAGTTAAAAGTAGATTGATTGAAGTTTTTCGAATGCAACACCATTCTTGGGAGTTGACTGCCTGCTAGAAGGGCACACAGCAACAAGAGTGGTGTAGTAGTTGAGCAATTAAAAATAGAATACCTTATTTTCTTCATGCGACAACACATACATATGCAATCGCCTTTTTAGGATGGAGAGGAGAAATTCACAATTGGAACTGAATCTAGCCTAGTATTAGACTTCCGCATTCCGTATAAAATCAGCAGGCCAATTAAACCGGTTGTTCCGAAATCAAAAACTTTGAAGTTATGGAAAGGGTTGTCGGAGTGATGTGGAGTATATGAGTAAAGTAGATCTCACATCTGAAATGTAAAATCTTCCACAATTAAGACTTTCATTACTAACTTCACTTGTGTGACCAGCCTTCTCTATCACTGTATGACAACCGGTTGCACGAAATTACACGTCTCAAACAAGTTGGCTGATTTTGAAACAATAAGGTAGATGTAGGACATTCTTAGCATAAGAATAATTGCATTTCCATTGAATTTTTCAACGGCATAAGTTCTGTGAACTGTGGTGGACCCTAATAGCTGGTGTCAATTAAAGTGCATGGAACGATAATCTTGACGTGAAAAAATAATGAAATATATGATAAACTGTGACAACCAACGAATTACTTATTTATTGTCTCAGGAAAAGGCAAAAGCCTGACATCAGCAATGATTTATTTAGGATGTAGAGAATAAATCCTTTTCAGTTGACGACAAAGTTTAAAGCATTCCATTCATATTCGCAAAATGGTGGGAACACTAGGTTCTAGGTCAATGGCAATCAGCCAAGTTTGTGAAGGTGGAATTAAATAGATTCACTGATGAAAACACACTGATTTTAAATCGAAATAGCTGTCAAGATCGGGAAGTTGGGAAGAGATTTTCCTTATAGGAGCGAAATTTGGAGGTGTGAAAGCTTAAAAAGTGCACCTAACAGAAGGGAAGTACAAAAAACCAGCGGTATTTTTCCAGTGTGCAAAAAACACCTCCCAATTAAAGTACGATAAAGGGTGGATGGGAAGAGGAATAATTTATCAAGATAATTAGGCGTGCATAACACAACCATGCCTCAAAGTCGGCCACAAAAAGGGCATGGCAAAAAGTGCAACTTTTGAGTATGATATATGAAATGAACAAAGAAGGGTGTTGATTTGGTCGGATAATTGCCCCAAATGAGAAAAGGCCAGGGCAAAGTAATCGGGGACAGAAATGATAAGTGTACATAAAGCAACTAAGGGATAAGGTCATTTCGTTCCAACAGTTTAACCCCTCAATGTTAGGGAAAATACGTATCTTGGCATTATGATAATCAATAAGATTCATTAAAAATTGTCTTTGAAGAAGGACATTTAAGAAAATCCGAACCCGCTTTCTTGCACCCAGTTCAGCTCGAACGCCAGCACTGTGGACAAGCTCCCCCGTCACACATATGTGACGTCCAGATTTTCTTGACTGGGTCTAGCGCCACAAAGTGCGATGTATATTCCTTGTCTGACCATGATAACTGATTGCAATGAACCATAATTCACAAGTAAATTGCTTGAGCTTCAAGCAATAAAACAAGCGTAGAATGCCGTTAATCAGGGGAATAATTACATCTGTTTAGGCCTTAAGTAGCAGAGTCATATTCAAGCAAAAAAACATTTATTCTGCAATGGTGACTTTCTTCCTGAGACAATAAGAGCGAATACACCAAGGAGGAGAAGCATTAGCTTTGTATTTCTAACTTGTAAGAGAAATTTTCCACCCTATGGAAGCCATTATTGAACCCGTGCATTCTTCGGCAGGGAACTCGATAGTTCAAAAACACAGTTGAGGCACAAATGACGCCTTTTCAGGTTAAAGATTGACAGAATAAGCAGAAATGTTAATTTGGACATAACGTATGCCATGGGGGTAGGGTACGCAAAAAAGCCACTTTTTATTCGTTCTGTGATGACAAACGGTGATGTCAGACGTCACATACGCATACATCTTCAACATGTGGATGCTAGCAATTTTAAAATGGTTTAGGTTAGAAGTCGACGTCTTTACTTAAGCTGTACCTACTCAAGTATTCACAAGCGATTGTCGGTATGTTCAAGATGTCAGTGACCATGTTAGTAACAAGGTATTCCGTATTTGTCATTTTTCTGTGGTCCACCAACCCTTGTGTAAAGTTTAAACTAAACTTCAACATCTACGAGAGAACGCGGGTGATAGGGCTCGGTTGTTGACTACTCGATGAAACTGCCCAAAAGCATAGGCTCCATCCGCGTCGATTGTATGACCACAGGCAATTTCACTCAAATTGTTGACTGACTTTTTTGGTTACCTGTACGTGAGTGAATTCAGAACAGAAGCATCATCTAGGTGAGGGATAAGAACAACGGCAATAGCGGCACACACGGATGAGAGAATCGGTGGTGTTTGCCGGTAAAGCGATTTGAAAACACAGTTGCGTGGTACAACGCAACACAGTGGCACACAAGTTGAAATTGTTACATAGGTTAGGTCTTTGGTGAAATGCGAATTCACTGAAAGTCGTAAAAATTAAATTATTCGATAAGTGAGATACTGAAATCAAGGCCAGAAGCTACTCCTCTTGTGTCAAAGATTAAGAAACCTCAACCCACAACTTCTACGGCTACTTTTGTGCTGAGCCTCAAAAAAAATTCCGAATTCTCTTTTATGCATAAATCCAATGAGAGAAAAGACCGTTTTTTCTTCGCTTCCTCTCCACTTGTGTAATGCCGTGTAATTTTATTCTCATGAATGCTTATGGAAAGTCAGTGAGGGAATTTAACTGGTAGATAGCAACTCTCAGCTTGACAGGCAAGCCAAAGCTATTTGAAGCATTTTCAGAGCATGAGATTAAAGAGGCACATACTCAACCTACAGAAGCATAACACGACCTTGCCAAACTTTGACTATATTCGATCTTTTTAAGACACCACTTTCGCTATAAAAGTAATTCTACTTTTAAGGGATAGCAAAACAGAATAGTAGCAGATGCAATGATATATATGTATATATGTTCCCGCTCCTGTATAATTTGGGCGATTTTCAGAGGCATTTGGCGCTTTTGAAGAAAACGTTACTTTTAAGAAGCAGCATCGAGACAGGTTCGTTTCCTTCTATGTTATTAATGCCACAGAACTCAGGATTTTCGCGATTTAGACAGCTTTACGGCAAACTTCTGGAGCAGTGACAACGAATGTTGGAAACAGAACAGAATTTACTCTTAAATTAACTCGATACAACTTGTAATTTCAATCCAACCATTACATTGCTAAAGGCAATCGTCTGTGGTGAAATAAAGAACTTTCATAGATTCATTCTGAATAATTGTTAAAAACTAACGATTCCTAGAAAAACGTGCAGACAGTTCTCGTAATTCAAAAGGCAACCGCGCTCTGACAGACCGCAACAAAAGCCCTCGAACCGGAGCATTATTTTCAATTTGCCGGTTCCAGATTCAGAGTGAAGCAGGCTTTAATGGATCGATGAACCGCTTGTTTTTGAAGTGTCTGAACAACATGCTTTCACGGGAGCAGTCAAGCTAAAACTTTAGAAAGATCAGATCCTTAAAGCAGAATTTTTTCTGTCAACTTCCCATAAGGCATCAAAGAACGCAAACGCACAAAAATTCCCAACTGGTATCCCGATGTGTCTGCCGTAGAAGCCAGTACATTTCATCAGGACAACTAGAGAACCAACAGATAAGTCGTAGAAAAGGAGGGCTTCTAGAAGCTCCCCCATTCTTTAACTGGAAACCACATGCAACCATGCGAGGGAAAACCCAGGTGGTACATATGGAGGCTCCAAATGCACAAATGACGTAAAATACGCGCACACACACACACATTCGCACATAGGAGAAGTAAACAAACAAGGATAATATTTCATCAGGAGAATAAACAAGCGGAAAATGATTTATCTCGGTGGCACAAACTCATCTTAATGTAGGAAATTCTAGTATGATGGATTTGCCTGGCTTATGACTCAACAAACGCGAAGCAATAAACAAAGGGATGGCGACATTTCACCATCGTTAGAAGACGCTATTAAGCTGTCACGTCGTAGTAACCGTAGTATAACGAAGTGTTTCAACTGTAATGTATGCGCGCGAACTCTTCAGCTCACTGCCGTTGACGGCCTGTCAGGGCTTCTGAATGCTGCTAATAAACCGCAGGATTGGCACATTGTGGCACAATATAATTAACCCACGGGGAATTGCAGGGATTTCGGATGAAACTACGAAGTACGGTGCTTTGAAAACACACTCACCTTTTGATTACACATAACAGCTAATATCTGTCGCCATGATCATGTCTCGCACTGCGCCTTTTACAATTTATGAGGGGAGAAGCAAAAGTGCAACAAAAGCAACAACAAGGTTAATCAACAGACTACAAACTGCACTAATGTGAAGATTGGCAGAATAAAAACCATGAGCTCTCTATCGACAAAAAAATAAACATCTCTTTTAGAGTAGATGATAAGAGGAAAAGCAGGGACAGGGAAGTTTCTCCCTGTATTCGACCCCTGAAGAGCATGAAAAGATAGACTTAGAGCAATACTTAAATTTAGGTGACTGAATTCCCAATGGAGTGCTGTCAATGGGTCATGAATTTCACCTGAAAGCGCAACACCCCCACAGACCAGACCAACACCACAAATGACTTCACGTGACACTTAATCTGCCAAGAATGATGGGCAATTCCATTTTATCGAATGATAACCAATAAAT